TCAAACGACCGCGAGGGAGCTTAGCTAATGCAATAGCAGTGGCAGATCTAGATTACGGGTAAGGAGGGTGTGAACGCCCCCCTTCCCCACTTTTTGAAGGTTAGACCGCTGTTGCTTCGTCCCTGGCTTTAAAAAAACCTCATACTTGTCTCTCATTCGTGCAAAAAGTCGATGACGTGAGTGAAAGCGGTCGTGGATCGTTCGAGAAGTAATTTCCCCCCCTCCCCCCCACCCCTTTCCCACTCAGGCAAATTTATTGATCCACCATTGAATTATGTACGTATCTTTTAACCAAGAGGGATTCAATATTTCACGTGTTTTCAAGAGAAGTCACTTAAGCTGAGTCTATGTTTCTAGCACTATTGTCTCAGTGCTGAAAGGATACAAGGAAAATTTGACAGAATTACAAAAAACAAATAACTAAAAATCTAATGGGAATTCTGAAGATTGCACGAAAGACGTTTCTACATAGGTGTCCTAATATATGATGATTTAAGTAGCTTTAGCTCATAAAACGGAAAAGACCTCTCAAAAAACCCTAAGTACTGACTCTAAGAAATTCCTCCTCCGTAAAGAAAGAGGGTCTACGTGACTAAAGTCATAGTTCAATTTTTCCCCATTTTTGAGCTGAAAGTTAAAAGTTCTCGCTTCTTTGGATCTTATCAAGAAATTTCCTCTTTTTTTCGGCATATTCTTTCAGGGGATATTTTTCGGATTTAAAAAACAGTGATGTTGAAGAAGATGACAGTTATCTTCAAGTTACATCTATGCTAATACCGTAACTTTATCGATCTCAAAGCAATATGCAACCATTGTTTTCAAGTAAATCGTTCACTGCTGATATTACTTTTGATCATGTTTTTCAAGTTTTTGATAGTTACATTTATTTCCTTGGTATTATTTTAATTTCACGCTTGAAAGGTTCATAATATGTTGTTAATCATGTGCTAAAATCTTGGGTTTAAATGTGGCATTCTATTTTCTACTCATCTAGGGTTGTGCCAAATTATAAAATAGCATTCTCTTCACGCACGGCTGTACCTACATACATATAAGGATGCACTTGCTCCAAAATTCTTGACTAGTCAAGCCGCGAGTTCGTATTCCTAAACTTTCCGACATTGTATCAAAGAGACAAGCGAAGAAATTTCCGCCAGTACACCCGAGTCTTTTAATGGTATTACTTTGCGTTAAAATAACAATATCTTGAATGATCAAAACCGTTCTTTTCTTTTTTTTTTAATGAAGCTCAGACCTCTTTTACAAATTAGGTTTTTTGATTTTTTGTGCCTTTATTTTACTAAATAAGCGAATTTTCCTCGACAACTTGCCAAAAGAAGCGATTTTTCGTTGAAAGTTTGACATAAGTCAGATAAATGGTACTCACTCAAAAAAAAAGTCATCGAGTCGCCTATGTTAGTAAGAACTGGTTCATTCTACTAGCCGCGCGTATATCGAGGTATGAATGCACCTAAGAGGTTTGTTGAACACTCGAGACGGTAGGGTTGGTTGTGGGTGCGCCTCGAGCGGGTGACCGCTTAATGCAGGTTTGATCGAAGGTTTCATTTATACCATGATACTCTTTCATGGGTGAACTCAGAGGCCTATTCAGCTTGATTGTTTTTTAATAGAAAGGCAACTCTGGAGTTCAGAGTTCTTACGGTGACGCAAAACCCGATTACACTAATTGCTACATGCGCTGAAACATAAAACTTACAGTTTGTGGTGAGAATAAAAAACATTGGAACAGCTGGGCTCCCACCACTTCGCACATTAGCATTTTAAAAAATTATATTTTTCGCATGATCCATTAAAGGCAATTTACGTTCTTAACATGACGTAAAGTTTCCTGGGTATGCTTTTTGATTGTTGTTTATCGGGAATATTGTTCTTGATGTAATTTATACGAATCAGCAGTTCTTTATTTATTATATATTTTGTTTTCCAAATAAAAATATGCTTTCAAATAAGTTTTCAGGTTCAAGAGATTGAATCAGACAAATGGTTCTTAGATTTCTACGTATCAGCAATTTTATTTTTTTAACTATCTCATAACATATTCTGACATATCCTGAAATGTGTGACAAGGCCTTTGGCTAAATAACTGTTCCATTCGATGTTTATTTCTGTCTGTATACATTGCTGACAAAGCTTATTTGTAAGAAAACGACCTGATTCCGGATATTTGCTGGGAATGTGATTTTTCTCTTGGAAAATGACGAGTAAATACAATGGCGCGTTAGACAAAGTTAAAATGGATGTGACTTCCCGTCGTGGCTTTAATGGCCATGTGGAAATGAATAGATATTTAGGTCGTTCCCCACCAATAATAGTCGTTGACGGGTTCTTTTGAAACTTTCCTTGAATGTACCCAAAGAGTCCTGCTTCGAAAAATTCATTAAAGGAAAAAGTTGTTCGCATAGGAGTTATGATGGGTCAACCTTGCCCAATTCATTTTTGCGCCATGTGTTATTTCATCGGTTTACAGTACATCCTGCGCAAGTTGGAAGCAAGGGTTTTAAAAATGATACTTGAATGAAATACTCGAAAGGGAAAAGTCATAAACGTATAGAAAAACGTAATACATAACATAAGAGAAAATTGCACCGCAGTTTTGAAGAACGCTTTAACTGCTATATTCTTGTTTTCAACGGATCAATTTGCTTTTAATTTTTCCCTTCTTCAAAATTGTGCAATAAAAGATATAGTCACTTAAAGAGTAAAAGACCAAAGTGTCTGTTAAATCCTTTCATTGATTGAGGGAATACAAGAACTCAATATGTGATTAGGAAGCACGCGTGCCTATTCGAAAAGAACCATGGTTGGATATTATGCACAGTAAAGGAAGCGCAACACCATACTGAGGAATTGATAGAAGCATTCATCTCATTATTCAGCTTAAATATTATTATAAAGTCTTTTTTTAAGGAATGACGCCTAACGACGACTAGAAAGATTGAGCATCATTAATCATGCGCCTCAGAATCTGTTATCATGGTATTGAACATAATTTGAAACAAATCTGAAAATGTCTAATTATTTGTATTTTTAGATTTCAACACAATCAGCGGTAAATTTTATTTACTATCTACGGCCTATTCGTTAAAAGTTTCGGATGAAGGATTTTGGTTCGCATTTTTCAAAACAACTCTTTTAACATCCAGTTACTTCTCCATCCAGGCATAATATTTCCATTTATGTTCAAAACTATGTTTCTCTCGCAGTTTGATTTTGCCCAGTTTGATTGTCACGTCGCGATTATAAATCTCTCAGCCTCTAGTGGATTCCATTCCATTGCGCTTAGTGTTATGCGCCATCGTAATTGGTTGATGTTTAGTTCGTTTCATTCAACTTTCGTTCGTGAAATAGATGCTAAAAATCGTTGAATCCAACATTGAAGCCGGCCATGAGGAGGGAATAAAAACATAATGACCAGGTGATCTTTCTGCAGAAGCATTTAGAATATAACCTGTCAGTGTTTCTGTTGAGGTTGAAAAAGGAGTTTGTGTCACATCCACCAAAAGATAGGTACCTTCTCATACTCTAAAGAGATTCCCTCGCCCTTCCTCTCCCAGCTAAGCAAAATTTTCGGCAATGAGCCAAAAAATCCTTGAAATTGTGCTTAGTCATAACAAGTATTTGCTTAAAAGAAAAAAGCGAGTTTAGTAAACAAATTTTACGAAAAGATCAGCATTCATAAACGTGATCGACCAATTTACGAAATTGCAATTCAGGGTTCACTTTTAACAGATTGTTCACCCCTCAGAACTTGGGGAATCTCTACCGTGTCGAATAATCTGACTGTAAATTGCTTTTTTTTTCTGCTTACTTTCCGACGTTTTCAAACGTGTATCTATGAATTTTCAGTTTTGTTCTTCTGTTTCCAAAGATTTCTTTGAATGAAAATCATTAACCCTCTGACCATATAAAAAGGGAAGAAATTTTTTAAGGCGACTGCTTTCTTTGCTACTGACATTGTAAGTACCTGATTGTCTATGTTTGTGCGATATGTCCATGTCTACGTATGATCCTCGGCTGAATCTTTAAGTGTCGCTAGATCGCAATGGTTCTGATCCAACAAAATTGTTCCCTCTCTTGTTTGATAAAAATATACTAGCATGGACTTGCGCACTTTGCTCTACCAAAAACTTGGCATTCATGGGTCTCAAGGCTCAAAGGCATATCATCTCAGTCTAGTTTTTTGAACTGTAAACGATCTATTACTTTTGATGTAACAGTACGCATTTCAGCCTACATCTCAGATATACAGGCAGGTTCAATAACAAAATACTGAGGCATCCGGGTGATAAGATAAAACAAATCATCAATGAGGTAGCTGTTTTCGGTAGAGGTTTCAAAGATAAAAAAAAATCCTTGCTTAGGGTTAGGGTTAGGGAAGTGGTAAAATGACAGTTTCGTACAGGGTTGGTTTATTCATTGTCTCGTGCGGTGTGAATGTTTATTTTTTGATCAGAAAGGACTTAAAGCTAGATATATCGGATCAATCTCTTTAAGGGATTCATGAATAAATATTTACATCGGTTTTCCTTTCGGCACCATAAAAGAGCGATTACCTACTCTAGGTTTTCATCCTGCCGCCTAACTCCTTATTAAGAAAGAAAAACACCCACAGAATGAAGCGACATAATTATCAGTCCCAAATAAAAGTAAATCTCTTTTTTTCTTTTCAGTCGAGGCCTCGTGCTGCTTTGAGGGCAGAATCTTTAAAATTCCTAAATTATAATTTTGGGGAAATATTGAGAAAAGGAATACCTAAATTAACAAAAGTTTAATATGGAACAAACACATCGGACATCAACTTAAAATAATTGCTTTCAGCGTATTCTGTGCTCTTCGTTATACTGCGACAGACGCGGAGCTCTATTCGTGAGCATCACGTCCGTATTTAGTTTAAAAGTGACGCGTTTATCAGATTATAATTAATACATATTAGCATATAGATGGGAAGAAAGCGTGGTAGGCTTTTTTGAACATTTTTAGCTGCAGTAAATTGGTCGTTATAACAGCATGAAAGCCACGCGAAGATGAATCAGTGGCTAGCCTGGCAAAACCATCTACAACAAAATCCTGAGAAGACATTACTGAAAATTGAATTCGTGAAAAAACTGCTGGAAGAGTAAGGATAACTTGTGGTTCGCAGCTGTTATGGACAACAATAAGAGTCGCTATCTCAGAACACACTTAGAAAGCTTTCTTCTCTACTCTTTTTTACTTTTGATGAATCGAGGTATGTTTAGCGGAGCGTTCTATTAACCCGACGTACACCATACATCTATAATTCTTCCTCATTTGATTGAAGGAACAGGAAAATTTTTTTTCCATTAGAGATTTTTTTGCCATCTGCCGTTCAGAAACGCGTTTGATGTAGGAAAATATGTGTAAGTTTTTTTCAATCAAGACTAACTTTAAAAGGTTCTTCGTGCCGTTAGAGGCTTCGTAACTGTAAAAATATTTAAACACATAAAGCCCAACTGAATTATCTTGATGGGGTCAGCAAGAAAGACTTTATTAAATCCAGTGGGGTCGTATAGTAAGTTGTTTTTATGCTATGCTGTGTTTTTCTCCAACAGAACACTTATATTCATTCTTACGATCAGAGCCAGGTCGATCACAAACTACCACTGAACAGTAATAATTTCCCCTGACGTTGCAATTATTCAAAATTTTCGTCGGTTCCCCAGAAATGTACCTTATGTGAGTTTCTCATGAGATGTTTAACTTGCATCCCCACATACTAACCAATCTGCATAAACAAACACCAGGACGTTTTAATACATTTTTTTTCCATCAATATAAGTAATGGATCTCACAATTTCAGAAATTTCTACAATACGGAAGTAAAAAAAAAAAAAAAAAAAAAATGGGATAATGGTCTTTACTGTCGGAAACCAGAAACTTGCTTCCGTATCATTTCGTATTTTCTGTTTTTCAATAAGGGAAGGACGCATCTATTCAGGTTACGTCCAAAAAAATACAAAACGCGTTGTGTTGTTGATGTCATGGACTAAAAGAAATAAATCATCAAAGGACTCGAAAAAAACTGCGAAATTGCGTGTAAAGATCAGAAGAATCAACGTTATGAGTTGATCTCTGCTAGATGTTTACGAGAAAATTTTGCAATATTGGGAATTCTTCTACTTTTCCCATAACAGGTGTCTCATCTGCAGCAAACTCAAACTGCGAAATAAAGTCTTCTTGCGGAGCCGACTGCCAATATGCTAATCGAACTACAGTGGATCCAGGCTCTTACATAACATTTGACTGCACGGTTTCCTCAGAAGCGGCAGAAAACATAACCTGGGAACAAGCAAAGAAGCTGGCTGGAAAAGGAGATGGCACATCAGATCTAGCTTTACAGGAGAGTTCCCAAAACATTTCATGCAAGTGTACCAAGATATTCTTCACACGTAGGTATCAGTCTCGTTATGGTTGTAGAGGCGTATACTGTAGCGAAGGGCGTGGGTCAAGTTACGTGATTATTCAAACTGTTTTGTTGTCAGAACAAATATAAAAAGCACACTGGTACAAAGTTGACGAAATTTTCCCCGATAAATGGTTAATGCTAAAAACTAGCCTTATCACCAAACGTTTCATTTGCCCACCGACACAGCCCATCAGTTTCCCTAGAAACCAATAATCTCAGACATAACAAGGGATTTTATTGTCTTCGTTTCTTCAGGCAAACTTAAGATAGACGAGCATACGGAATCTCCCTATATAATCCAACAAGGGGAACGACCTTATTTGAAGTGTATTTTCTCGGGATGGCCACTCCCGCCCGTAGCTAATTGGTTCAGGGAAGAGAAGCTAATCACTAACGAGTCAAAAGCAGTTTATCAGTTGGACAGGATCTTAGGGAAGGAAGGAAATAAAACTCTCCACAGCAGTCTCAATTTTCAAGTTGCACGCGAGGACCAGGCAGGATTCTATGAGTGCAATGCTACAAACAGCATTCCAGGCTGGTCAAGCAGTAAATCTAAAATGATACAGACGATATACCAGTGTAAGTATAGGGTTAAAATCCATTCCGTTTTGAAATGTAGTATAGGATTTCTCAGTTTAAGAGTTACTCAGGTTTTCTCCACTCGTTACGCTCAATTTCGATTGCTCGAAGTAAGCCGAACTTTATCCCAGTTTGGTGTGGCAAATTTTGATCTGAATTTCCTGAAATTGGAGTAATTAAGTATTATTAATTGAGTTGATAACGTAAATTGGCTACCATAAATGAAAGAATTTTAAAGCTGAGTCAGAGCGATGACAAAGGGTTAACACCTTGAAACGTCAGCTTTAAAACTCTTTTATGGTGGCCAATTTACATTATCAACTCAATTGATAATAGTTAATTACCCTGTTATGCTCTCTCACCGACCCAGCTCCACAGTTTCTTTAGAAACCAACTCCCTTTGTTACCTGAAATTAGTTTCTCTCTGATCTGCTTGCAGCTAGTTCTTCCTACTGGTTCACGCTTGCTGTAAGTAAGGTCCTTTATTTGAACACAATGAGAATGAAAGCATTACATGCTTGAGGGGTCGTGTCGTGTGTAACTAGCTAATTGCTGCGTAACCTCCGTGTAAAAGTGGATAAAATATATATGATGAATAATGAAAAACAAATATAGGACAATGCAAAATGTACTTTTTTAATTTAAGATAATTTAAAATTCCGGATCTGACATCTTCTTCGCTACTGACTGTGCGGTTAAGCTGGTAAATCTGATTTCCCTAAAAGTGGGATCAGATTTCACTTTTCTATAAAATAGCTTAAACTACAAGAGTCATTGAAATTATCTGAGCCAAAATTCCAACCAAAGCGCCTTTATAACGAATAATTTACAGGATCTGTTATACACGCGCCTCTATAACTGTTGGTTGTAAAGCTTTAGTTTGGTAGCCTACGATTACCTTTCACGTACCACATGAGCGAGGGTGGACCTGTAATGGATTGCCTCCAAGTGGACAAACACCATTTAGAATTTCTTTTCTAGAAGTCCTGACGCTTCTGCCTCCATACAATCCACATCGATACAACCAACTCAACAGTAGGGAATCTTTTTCCTTCATAGGTCCACATGCACAAGACCCAATTGTCGAACACTTGGAAGTTCTCGCGCGCAAATCTTTTAATACAACGTTGATCTGCTTGGTTTATGAATCCGAGGAAGGTTGTCCAGATGACTTACGATGGTACGCCAATGGGCGGCCTCTGAGAAATAGTGGAAAGTACGAAATATTAGAGAAGAAAACTCAATCCAAGTGCAAGAGAGAATTTAGATTGACCATTTTTAACGTTACTAAAAATGATGAAGGAAATTACAGCTGTCACTGGATATGCGAATACTTTGAGGATAAGATAGCTACCATTAAGTTGAAAGTATCTGTTGAGTCTATCACTGGTAAGAGTTTTCATGTTAGTCTATTATCATCAGTCCCCTAAGACTCGTTAACTTTCTTTAAGTTTCGCCTCCATCTTTATTGTTGTTTTCATATGGGTAATCTTTCGATCTAAATGCTTTCGGGAAAAACGTTTTTCTCAAATTTCTCAATTTTACATCTTGAGTACGAAGCTTATCTTTATGTCAGTGAGTGTTTTATGTCAGTTTTTCTTCTTTGGAAAATGTGTAGCTGCTGTTACCATCAAAATTTACCGCTACGATTCTCATATTGATCGCCATGAAAGATTAAAAATGGCTTTTCCGTTTTAAAACATTTGCTTAGTTAAATGGGCAAATATAGGTATTGTGGAACTGATGAAGTTACTAACCCAGTTATGTAAAACCAACCTCTACAACAAGTAAATAAAGAGGTTAGTTTCGCTCAGTGTGGTGCAGAAACCGTTGAAACCTGGAAAACCACTCGATAGTTTTTGAAAACCCAAGGTTACGTAGAAACTGCGTTTTCTGGGAAGAAATCTTTGATCCCCCTAACCCACCCTACAGAGCAACTTCGCTCTTCTATTAGAATGTACTAAAACGATGAATACCGTTGAAGTCGCGCTATGGTTGTCTACTAAAACTCGGAATATCCTTTGGTAATCACCTATGAGTTACGCGCGCGGGATTTGCACCCGGAAGTATTTTAATCGTTGCGGGAATAAATGAGTTAAAATCATCTTTTTGTGCTATATAATCTCAATTTTTTAGTATTAACATAATAAACAACTATTTACTCCAGTGTTGGTGGCTTGCGAAGGATATTTACCGCGCCGCTTCGTGGATCGGTGAATATCCACCATTAGCCAACTCCATTTCGGTGAGTAGTTGTTAATTATTGTTACTTAGATTAATAAGAATACTTTGGCAGGCCTCAAAGTACGAAGTCTATGAATGGGGCATTACTTTATTCCATGCCTTTGTTTTTTAGCTTCTCAGTCACCTAGAGCGAGTGCATTTTGTGCATGAAAGGGCGGTTTCGATGTCTTTTTTTCGTTGAGCATTTTGTAACTTTCATTCCATTATTCAGACCCACCAACAGTGGTTAACGTTTTGACTGGCCCCTTATATCCACTTTCAGGTCAGTAAATCATAGATATTACATGGTGAATTAGAATAATAAATGATGGCCTAAACATAGGAATAACGATATAAGAAATAATCGGCCATGAATATTAGAACGTTTCGAATTTAAAATTGGGAATGAAATAAATAAGTATCAGTAACTTTCTGTAAATCGATAGTTGCATGCCTCAGTCATTGCGGACACAGGCCATGGGACAGTGTCACTAACACCATCCTTTTTCTGCTATTTTTATCACAAAATTACAAAACTTGATTTAGACTCCATGGTAGATTATCACCTTACAAAGAAATATGTTATTGCTCAACAGTACTCTAAAATCCTAGTTTCAACAGATCATAAAACGTTTTTTAAGTTGTGGTTACTTTGAGTAGACAATCACCTTGCATGTGTATAAAGGTGTACTAGGAAGGATCATGGTTTTTTTAATCAAGCCATTATTTGTTGTATGGTTTTATTAATCTGCAGGACAGCGCAAAAAGTGGCTATTGCCGATCATTATTCTGGCAGCGGTAGGTGGCGTTGCTGTTTTCATGGCAGCCGTGCGGTTCGGAGTGAAAAAGAAGTGGACATCATCTTACGAACTTGAAAAGTGTAAGTTAGGAATATATTAAACCAAAGTTCGTCGAGTGATGAATATTCAGGGTCGTAAGAATCAAATATCAACCAGTTCTACATCCTCTTTAAGGGACTGGTCATTATTTTCTCATTAACCGTCGGGGGGGGGGGGGGGGGGGAAAGGGTTCAAAGAATTTTTAGTTACGTTGCGATGAAATGTCCCCCCTCTTTATAAAGCTCTGTAACATTCTTATGATCCTTTCCACACCTCATTGACAGTTTCAAGAAATTTAGCACTCAGTTGTCTATATTCCCTTTTTTCAAACTCTGTTCGTGACGACGATCACCCCTCCGTTACTCCAGAAGATCTTGTGATCCCCAACCCCCGCCCACCGCAAGAAAAGCCTCCGACCCACCTTGGTAATAAAGAGTGACGGGTTCCTTTGATTCATTCGTGTAATGTTTTTCCTTATGAAAAAATACATTGACTCTAAAGAACCGGCTAACATCGCCAATCTTGTAAGTTTACTGTGACAAGAACAACTTAAACAAATTTCCAGCGTATACAGTTAAATGTTGGAATGTTATTAATCACTGTAAGTGTGAGAATGCGCCACATCTCAAAAAACTCCTCAAACTGGGTCTGAAAAGTGAAGCTCAACAACGGCAGTTATATTCGTTAAAACTGTGTAAAATTTGCCTGGGTATTGACTCCTGTGGAAACTGTAAAAATCCTTCATATTATTCCCCCAAATAAAATTATGGCCCCCGAACCAGAGCACACCTTCCCCTTATTCTCTGAGCAAAGCTCCGCCGATAATGTCCATGGTTAGATGCTAACTTTAACAGCTGAATAGGTTCTAGGGTCGTTATTTTCTTTTTGCTTATAGGTGGGTTCAATGATGAGGTGTTGAAAAATCAACTTTTTGTCAGCTACAGCTCAAAAGACGTTTCCTGGGTCAATGAGTATCTCATTTCACTGCTTGAGAAACACTCAATAGCCTACAGCATTCATAGCCGGGACTTTGAACTTGGCAAGCCCATCGTTCAAAATATGGCGGACAATGTGTATGGTAGCCGTCAAGTAGTAATTGTTTTATCACAGAATTATCTTGCCAGTAACTTTTGCCGTGAGGAGCTACACATGGCTTTTCAGAGGGGGATGGACACGGGAGATTCTTCTGTGATTCTTGTAATGATCAATAACTTGAGGAAGAAGCAACTGCCTGCAGCCTTAAGAGACAAGCGTCTGTTGGAGTTTGAGAAGCACAACAAGAAGCAAGAGTGGGAAGAGAAAATTCTAAGCGAGATTTTAGATTGGAAGACAGACAATGTTTAAAGAAGTTAGTGTGTTAACAAATTTTAAATTCTAGAAACCTTCATTGGGCCGGCTAAATTAGCTTGAAGATTTTTTTTTTCCAATTTTTATTCTGATGCCGGATGGGATCAGTTAACAGCGCGAGAGGTTCATGAATTATCTCTCAGTCCCATGCTCAAATCATTGAAGTATGAGTGAAATTGTTCAGCCGCCATTAGATTATTCAACGAGAGGAATCGTAATTGAGGGCCAAACTGTTTTGATTAGTTGGCGTCAGAACCCACTGACCTCATCCCAGTCTACATATCTGGGCATCGTCGTCGTTCCACATTTATCCACCGCCATATGACGCGAAGTATTCACTTCCGTAAACTTCCGGTTAGCATTTGCTTACGGTTTTTTACTGCATCATATGAAGTGATTTTCAGCTGATGAATATGCGATTGATTCAAAACTCTTTTGCATAAGTTGATTGAGGTGATTAATTAACAGATAAGAAGTGGCTGTTTATGACACGATCCTTTTAATTGAGAAGTAAAATAACAAGGCAGAGTTACTGGCGTGGGTGTACTTTTTTTTTCGTTCTTTTCTCTCCCTTGAGCCGTTCGGCTTGGTATTTGCACCTACTAACTCCTTGAGGGGCAATGGACGCAAAGGTCCAGAGGAAGACGTCACACGGCGGAGCCAGTGAGAAAGGAAAACGAGCAAACCGCTCAACCCTTTCCACTTTGGCATCAGTACACAAGTTCTTCACACTGTTCTCTGTACAGTTCCTACGAGGAATTTGTCAAACAATCAAGTGCTTCTTTAGTTCAAGATCATCCCTTTATTCTCACGAAATTCATGTTTGATTCAGGGGTAACCCTGTTTGGGAGAAATTAGATGCTTATCACTCTAAGGACTCTTCGGGTGTAAATTGTTAAAGTGCAAAAAGTCGCCTTTGGTTTTTAGTTTGCATACCTGGATCATTCTCGACTCTCAAGAATGATCCAAAGTCTTGAAAAGGGACTTAAATTTAAGGAACTCAAACTTTCAATTATAGTTCGTTTAACATGTTTAGAAGAGCTCGTTCATTTGGCGACTATTGGTTGAAACACGAGATCGATGACAGTAAACTTTAACACTTCAATAGACTCCCAAAGCAACATAAGCATTAGCAAAGTCCAGCCACGAGTCCGAATTCATCATATCTTTAAGACATCTGGCTAATTCTACTAATCCTTGTCCGTCCATAGGACTTCCTTCGGAGGTCTTTTTTGACTTTTTAAATCAGTTGCTTCATTTCTGGCCAGCACTCACTGTGGATCCTTAAATATTTTACCACATTTGTATACACCGACTCGCCAAGTTGAAAATTTCGTTATTTAATGATAAGGATTGTTTGTTCGAGTTTTGATTGGAAAATCATCCAATCTTTATCGCACAAACGTACGTAGGTTAGAATGACTGTTATGGCTGCTAGCGTTTGTTTCTTTCCTTTTCGTGACTCGCTTTGTTAAACTTTAGGCGGGGGTAGGATATTGGCAAACCAGTATGCCGACAGTCATATTCATTTAGTTCGATTAAGAATTGCCCTGAATATCCGAGCGTCCTCAACATTGTCCATCATCTGACCTCCGATTTTTACTTGAAAAAATCATTACAAAGAGCGAAAAACTCATCGGATCCTTTAACTATTTCTATTTCTTGTTTCGTATATTAATTGATACAAAAATACGGAGTTCCTCCAAGAAAAACGCACTCCAAATCAATCTGTATTTTGGAGTGCGTCACTCGCTTATTCATTCTTCGTCATGGCCACATGCACCTTTTCGCTCGAGCTCTTGTCCTCTTGTGAAAGTTCTTCAAACAGTGTTTAACTCGCACACGAGACAAATAAGAAAAGTGTAAGCTATTGTTATCAACTGAGTTGAAAACGTAAATTGGCCACCCTAAAGAGTTAAAAGGCTGACGTTTTGAGCGTCAGTCCTTCGTCAGAGCGATGATAAAAGTGTCTCCTGATAGAGTTATCATAGAGAGAGTTACATTACTGTTACTGAATTGACCGGAACTGAGTCTAAAATTTTTGATTTGAAGAGTAAATAGATGACGGTTTCAAATCTTCAGTGTGATTTTACAATTGGAATTTTTTTTTGTCACAACCGTTCTGACCAATCCTGTGTCCAACCTGTCCGCCAGCTACACTGAGGTCTCGTGAGAAGTGCCTCCCCAAGAAACTCCCATTGGAGTCTTTGTCAGTGCCATTTCCAACTTCATGTTTTCACTCCATACATAGGATTCATAAAGGTCGTGGTTGTTGGCTTAAAGATCGGATTTTCAGCCTGTTTTTTTAGACAAAAGGATAGGGAATGCCACAGTATTATTTCACATGACCACAGTGCTAATATGATTGACTAAAAGACTGATTACTTGACTCGTTGACTGACTAATAGATTGACTGCATGATTCTCTAATAAACAAGCTGACTGACTGACTCAGTAACTGACTGACGGATTGACTAATTCAGTGTTTGATACATTGATTGGCTGACTGTTTAACTGAATTTTTGCCTGACTCTCTCATTGAGTTACTCACTTATTGCGTGACTTACTGATTGAAAGATCAATTAGCAAACTGAATGACTCACTGACTAACCAACCGACTTCCTGATGATTGACTGACTGGAAAACTTGCGCACTCGTTGACTGTCTAATAAACTGGTTGACAGACTAAACGATTCACCGTCTAACTAATTAGCTGATTGACTGAGCGATTGAGAAATTGACTGATTGATTGTCCGAATGACTAGCTGAGCAGTTGACGCACGGTCTGGTTACTAATTGACTTACTTCCGAAAAACTGAATGGCTGAGTGAATAACCGACTGGCTGGTTGACTGACTAAATGACTGACTAAATGACTGGCTGATTGACTGATTGACTAATTGACTGAATGACTGACTGATTGACTGGCTGACTAGCTAATTGGCTAATTGAATAACTGACTGAGTGACCGACTGGCTGACGGACTAATTGTCTAATTGATCAACTGACTGACTGACTGAATGGCTGGTTGACTGACTGACTGACTGACTGACTGACTGACTGACTTAAGGAGTGACTGACTCGACGAGCGACCGATTGAGGAATGACTGACTGATTAACTGACCAACCTACTGGCTAACTTACTGACTGACTGAGTGGCTGATTGAATCAAAGATAGACTCGCTCACTTACTGATTGAATAACTGACTAACTTAGCTTGCGAAAGAACGAATGGAACACTACAATGTTTCCACCTTCATTGTTAAAATGAAATGATCTATTTTTTTGAAAACAGCAACAAATGTTATTAAAAAGACATACCATGACACATTTTGCTTTCTGTTGTTCCTTTTCAAATTTGGCAAATGCTCGCCGGTCCTGAAGATAGAAAGACAACTTGCAAATTTAAATAATGAAGAGAAAAGGTGAGGTTATTGTATCAACCCTTAATAAGGCAATAATGAGCCAAATCGAAGGGTTTCATCGCTTTAATTTTTGGTATTTTAATTTTCCCGGTCTCAAACATTGCAAACCACTTTATCCATAAATTAAGGAAGTGAACTGCGTCGTAGGGGGCCGGGGATTACAAAATAATTTGGTCTTACGACCTTTCTTATGATAGCGTGAATTGGCCACCGTAAAGAGATTCTAAAGCCTGACGGATTTACACTGACCACGGGCTAACGCTCGAAACCTCAGCTTTGTAGTCTCTTTACGGTCGCCAAGTCACATAACCAACTCAGTTAGTATTGCCTTTTGTTCTAAGCGATGAAGAATATTTAACTCGTTCAACATGAATTACTGAGCTAGATATCTGAGGGAAGACAATCCCTCTTTTCTGTACCCTGGCTGTGCTTCATTAAGACAAGTGCTTGTAGTTTCAGGTTAATCAGCGGACTAATTGCTACTGATGTATTTCGTCCGACGATTAACGCGACATTTCGAACTGGGTGATTAGTTGACGAGCAATAGCAATTTTTTCCGAGCAAGGGACGAGGTGATTACCAAACGTCTGAGAAATAACCAAAGGAGATCAGCTGTTGACAGCAAATAGTCGTTTCACGCCGAGTGCTGCCCGATGAAATTGTAATGAGAGCACAAGTGACCGATATTCTCACCTGTACCGTTGCTAACACTCTCCATATCAGCAAGAGAGCTAAGGCAACAGCGAGAACGGCTCCTATCACGCCTAGAATCACCAACAGGGCCTTCATCTCTGATGGACAGTCTAAAAGAAAAAAAATTATCGTACAGTTGGGCCCAGTTGTTTAACAGGCGGTTGGCGACAATCCAGGTTTAGAAGCGTACATTGGGGATAACATTTTGAGGGGTTCACCTTAGCCAGAGACAAAACTGAAGTAAAAATATAAATAAATAATTAGAAACTGTCTGCAAAGCTCCAAAACTAAATCTAAAATTTTTAGCTAACCCTTGGTTGGCTTGAACAACCCGGCCCAGGTCGTTTCCACGGAGTCAATCAGGGGTACACAGAGTAAAGGGAATAAGTTTCTAAGTTAAATATTATCAATGAGTTGATTACGTAAATTGGCCACAGCTTTTAAACTCTCTACGGTAGCCAATTCACGTTATCAACTCGTCGATAATACTTAATTACCCAGGGGTACACATAGACTGAGGTAGAAGAGGCCTTGCGACGAGAATTTATTGGAGCGAGGCTTGGAGACTAGGTTTCTAACGTCGGAAGCTATGAGGACAAGATTAACAACGTGAGAACATCAATGGAAAAGAGTACCGTTAAAAGTCACGTAATATGGCATTTTTAATGTGACGATGCAGACTTCGGAAATCATCATCGAACGATGAATTTACAAGTTACTGTTCAATTGGACGAGAAACCTTATTTACTTCAGATTAAGTGCTGCCACGAATAAGCGCGGCATCTGGGACATAAGCAGTTTATTAGCTTCTTCCAAGAATTCTTCCACAAGCTGTACTTTGAACGTCCTTGTGGACGGTTCGAACTAAGATGACATGAACTGTTTCAAAGTACTGAGGAACAACCACGTAGCACTGGAAGGGAAATGCTTCATACGCAGTGCGATATCTTTGGGAACTAGTTGCAATTTCTTTCGAAAGTAAAGATTGAGACGTAAAAGAAGCGTACTCGCCCACTCTGGAGCTTGTAGACTTTAGTCTGAGAGGGGGTTTGCGAGATCGAAGTTAACTGAAGTAAAGACACCGCTGGTAAAGCAATTGAAAAGTGCCGGAAGAGAACTACTGTTTGTTCAATGCAAAAAATGCTAATACACATAGAAAATACATCTTCAGTTAAAAGTAAACTTTTCTTTGTCGAGTCCGATTTTTAAATAAGTGCCGCCCACGAACATGAGCCACAGCGCTTATTCGAATAAATACGGTAGTTGCGTCTAAACCAAAGGTTCACTCTATCCGGCTACGGGCTAAGTGGAACTCCGGTTTCTACTTTTCCTACCACGTTGTGTCAGTAATCCTTATTCAAAATAAGAGAAAAAGTCTACAGGATTCGAAAAAAGCGCAATGTTACGTCGTTATTTGACATAACGTGGATTCTTAAAAATATCTTTAGATAATCTAGAATTCAGGAAGGAACCAACCTTTATTCCTCTGTGTATAAATCTCCAACTGTCCATCTGCTCTTACCGTGTAGGCAAACCCAAAATAACAGTCATCTTCGTCTCGGAATCGACACTGTTTGCCCATGTCTGGAGGAAATATCAGATTCAAATCGTAGTGGTAGTGAGAGGCAGAATTCACAAATTGCAATTGCAGTTATATAAGAAGAAACAACCAACAATTGGTTAAAATTGGAACTATGATATCATGAAAATGGATTGATTTTTCTTATATGCTCAATGTCGCGTTGGCAAGTGTCACGCAAAGATTTCCCTTAATCAGCTCAGTCCCAATGTAAGGTTTTAATATTCTTTAGCTCAGCTGTATTGAGGGGAAGGGGGGAACACTTCACACAGATGTGTATTCACATTACGTTCGATATTACTGCAAGTCTTGCTGAACACCTACCACTCACAAGTCTTAACCCTTTACACTCTAACATCAGTATGTATATTCTCCATACTGTTCTTTATACATTTCTAAAGGTGCTGACAAGGAGAATTTGTTTACCAATCAAAAGCTTCTTTCGTTGGTGATCATTTCCTTTATTCTCATGACCTTAACATGTGATTCAAGGATGATATTGTAGGGAGAAATTTGACGCTGGTCACTCTTGGGTTTAAAGGGTGAAATGAATATATTTAGAAATTGCTTACGGCAACCGTGTAACCTGGAGCTCCCTCCTAGATTATTCATTTAACACCAAATGGAAAGAAAAAAGTATGAAGACTAAGCTGGAAAATGAAGACTGGGATGTTCGTATCCAGAATCAAGCCAGTCTCTTTTAATCCAAAAAAAAAAAACAACAACAACAACAACAATAACAACAAGAAAAAAACATTAAACATGACTGAAAGGAGTGCTGCAAAAGATAAAGGGGCTCAAATCTCCATGCACAATCCTTAAACTAGAATTACAGGATGAGGCAAAAATTACATACCAGATGTTAACTCGTCTACTGCGGTGATTCTAAAGTCTTTACATTTAGCTTTGCAATCCTCTCCCACTAGTTCCCCTGTACCGAACATTCGACATTGCACGCATGGTCTATTAGCTTCACAGTTTCCTATACAACTCTGAAATTTAAAGGGTAATTTAGTATTATCAACTGAGTAAATAACGTAAATTGGCCACCGTAAAATGTTCCAAAGCTGACGTTTCGAGCGTTAGCCTTCGTCTCTTCGTCTAGCTCTGACGAGGGGCTAACGCTCGAAACTTCAGCTTTGAATCTCTTTACGGTGGCCAATTTACGTTATCAACTCATTTTATAACACCTAATTACCTTTAATGCTCTCCCACCAACGCAGCACCACAGCTTCTCTAAAAACTTACCCTCTTTATTCATCTGAAATTTAAACACATAAACCATAGCCAAAAAACGCAAATGAAGCGTTAGAGTTAGAGAAATTAATGGGTATTTAACGCAGTTTAGCATTCCAGACATTTGAATTTCTTTCTTTGCTTTCTCCACCACTTTGGATCGATTGTATTCTTTTCCTTCAACTTTTCAATCCGCTCTGTATGTTAAAATCTTTCGGCTGTGAATTACTTCACTTACTGGCGATGATCAAAGGTGTCGCCTTGGGGGAAGAGGAATGTCCAGCTTTGCTAATCTGAGCCAAATGTTCTCACCGGGAGTGTAAAATGATCATGGTGGAACAAATTCGAAAAAAAGGATATTGCCTGTTTGTGGTTTCAAGACATAGCATTTATAAAACATTGCAACAATTTTATCGATTAAAAATTTCAGCTAGTCGCTCCCGTCGGGGCCCTTAACTAAACTTGCAACACACTACTTACAACCGGCGATATACTCACAAGACACTCATCACAGAAAGGTCCCCTGTAGGGCAAAGAAGCATTACATACGCAGGTTCCACATTTGCAGGTCCCTCGACCGCCACAAAGGACCTGAGGAAATACGTATGCGTTTTTATAGGCAACAAATTGGAGAAAGATACGTTCACAAGTTGCCCGGCCCCCGAGAGGATCGCTAGGGTTGAAGCCCCGTGCTGATGGGTACGGAAACTGCTCAAGGGTCGACCGGCGAGAAACTAGTTACATACACTTCCATCCGAGAAGAGTGGCGTTAATACTCCTGGTTACTTTGTAAAGAGACGAACACTTTTTTTATTAATCACGATTAACGCAAAAGCAAAAGGATAGGACGTCACATATGCTTTCGAGAGTTATTTGATTATCACCTGCTAGCCTGCTAGCCTTACCCCATTCTTGATACAACCGTCCAAGTCCTTGCTGCAGCTACACGAAGGTCCACTCCAGTTTTCTTTACACTTACATTGGCCGCAATCACAATCTCCTCGCTCTGTTGGCAAATATCATAATATGTCGACAAATACTATAATTTTAGCAAATCCTTGATTTATTTCCCAGTCTCAGCTTCGATCAAATATAAAGACAGAGGATAAGTTTAGGGACCGGAGTAGGGCGCTGAATTCAAATGTAGAGGTAAAAGGATAAATCCTTAAATTCTCTTACCTTTTTTTTTTTTTTATTATTATAACGTGGAATTATATGGCGATTTCCGTAAAAACATAAATATATATAAATGAATGTGGGGGTAGAGTCTACCTTGGCATAAAGTGCTCAATGCTGTGGTAGCAGAGCTAAGTATACATAAGTTAATGAATTAAAGAGGACGCATCGATTCTCTGTGACTGAGTTTCGCGCCTAAACGAAGGGAGCCAAATAGGTGACTGGACTTTCGTACACAGCGACCTTATTCTCCTCTGCGGAGGGCGTCAATTTCAGGTCGCACTGCTCGCAAAGATATAACGTAAGTATCAAGAGATTGCTTTTCTTAATCTCAGTCTTGGATGCTGACTTGTTTCGGAACAGCCGTAAATTCAAGGCTTGGAAAATATAATGGCTCGCTTCATTCCATTTGGAATGTCTTAATAATTTACTTACTACTGGTTACGATGATAAATTTATATCACTCTTTTTAATTTGTCTGTTTGGTAATATGTCTATATTTTGAATGAAGTTTTTACTTTTCAAAATTCAGACATAATAAATGTATAGATTATGGGTGGTTTGTGCAACTATTCCATCAACAATTTAAAAAAATAAAAAATTATAGCTTCACAACAACTCGGGCGTCACCCACCCGATCCTCCACACATCTCCTCATTTTCAGGATCCTTTGGACAATTCAAATTGTTGCACTCGCAGGTTTCACCATAGATTAATCCTTTGGGATCCTGAATATCAAGGGGAGAAACTAATTTAGTCACTGATTATTCTGCTTGAACGGGGATGTAAAATAAGACATGATATAGAAATTGTGGGACTCCAACTGAGTATGGCTTTTGAAGTCAGATGACAAAATATTCAAAGTGGAAATGCCGTCTGCCTTTTCCTTGCTCTTTCTTTTTCGCGCGTTGTTTGTTTTACAAACATGTTGCAATCTTTTAAGCTGCGTTCTACATATCAACCAGTAAACGTGGATATCCAAACCCTTAGGGTTCGAGAATAGGAAAATTATGGTACCTGAGTCGTTTGCAAGTTATATGACGACGATGCATTTATCCCAAAACGTTATATCGTTTATCTGGCCAGAAAAATTTGCTCACGGTCGAGTAAAAGGAAAACCTTTCCAGCTCTTGGAGGAAAAGTAATTTTTTTTGCTTCGAATACGGGTTCTTCACTACCACAAACGCGCTGCAAAATATAACACACTGTTTCACGTGCCCACAATTTTATCCCTGCCAAAACTCGTTATAGCTTTGAGCTAGACTCATTTTGAAACCTTTCTGTCACCATGCAAATACCAGAAAAGATCACCTTGGTGTCCTCACAGTAACATTTGCCACAACTGCATGATCCTTGACCACTGCACACGTCGCCATTATTGCTATCAATGGTAAAATGGATTAAAGAAGAGTTAGTACATGTAAAGTCCTACATTTTAGCGTCTGAATATAGCTAAAGAGTCGTTTATCAAATCTCTGTGCGCCAAACCTTGACAAATCATAAGATCTTAACGGCTTTGCTCTAGGATTCAGTAATGTTAGCAGCTACAGTCATAAAAATCTCCTGTAGAAAAGTAACAATGCCCTTCGTTTAAAGGAGCTCCTAAGAATTAAAGACCTATCTACCGAAATACGAGAAATATGCACGGCGCAGAAAAAAGAAAAAAAAGGAACAAATAAATCAATCTGTACTTGGATGACATTACTGTGACAACATCTATCATCAAAGATATCATTCTAGAGTTACCCAGCCAAACAAAAAATCGCTACCTTTGACAATTTTTTCGCTCTTCCTCCTCTGTGCACGAACAATATTCACCTGCCCTAGGAACAATAGTATAGATTAGGAATTACGAAAATTAGATCAAGATGATATTGTGTACCACCGTACATTCAAAATTCTTGATCTAGGTGATTCCTGGATATAAAACGTTAAGATAACCTTCACCTCACAAAAGGAAAAACGACTCATGGCTTCATTCGATTAACACTTAGAGTTACGGTTTCAGGAAGGGTGGGTACATTTCAGGGTAATGCTATGCTAGTGGTTGTTATATCAAAGTTGTAATCTGAGAACTTGGTATCACAAAGACGGCACTGCCAAAGATATGGCACAAACTCTGCCAAATGTGTTAAACTCACCATCCATCTTCACAAGAACACATTCCACACTTTAACGATCCCCTGTGATTGCAAATTGTGCTATTGGGTTCCTGAGAAAAAGTTTTCGTGGCGGGTTAAATGGCGATTAAAGCAAATCTCTACTACCTACTTGCAATGCGCGGATCTGAAAATTGACGATTTTTATCGACGCTATGCCACTATGGAGCTGAGGAGAAGAGAGCATCAAAGAAGGAGACGTCACCCTTATATAAAGGCCTATAAAGGTCTCATTCAAATAATGGCTTTAAAATGGGGGGTTCAACCTTAAGAAAAGATCCTCTCTTACGTTTACTAACTCTCTATAGAGGCGAAAAAATAAAGAACTCTGATTTATATGTCTAAAACGAAAAAACTGGTGTCTGAAAGACAATACCTCCTAATGCGGTAGACGCTGAAATTCTATTCTTTGCACAATGAGTGAATTAAGTGCTAGACTATTTCTAATTGGACTAAAACTTGACTTTTATCTAGCAGTCAATGCTGACGACCAGTTTATGAGATGACAGAAAGATGGCGTCAAAGCTTGAAAAATGAATTAAAGGCCAACCAATATTTATTGTCGGGTGGGTGGGGATGACCGGAACTTCTTTAGTGGGATTTCACATGGATAACAGGAGAAAAATAATGACCAGTTTCTAAAATCACACGACTCAGGTAGATTAAAATTGATAAAGTCTTACCAGAATTTCTTCTGCTTCACAGTCACAACTGCACACATAAGATAGCTTCAAAAAAACTTGTCCGTAAGGAGTTTTGATGGAAAAGCTGCAAAGAGAAAACTTGGCCGATTTAAATATATAGAGAGAGTTTTTTGTTGGAACAAAATTATAGATAAACAAATAAATGTTAAAATCAAAAAACAAATAAATTTGTGAATGAACGAGGCAAAGACGCTTACTTTGAAGGCAAATCGTCCGTGCAGTTGGCCATCGAGACTGATATCTTGAAAGATACCTGAAAAAGATGATAATTATATTTTACTTTTTGTTTTCCGTTTAAAAGTTGTTTAACGAGTTGTTTAATTTGAAAATTTCCGTTAATTGGATTATAAATGAACCGTAATATGATGATACGCATTTGTAATCTGTCTACCTATCTATCCGACTGACTAACTGACTGACTGACTGACTGACACTGATGTAACTCATTGCCTCACTGAGCCACCTATTGGTATGGATGATAACATGATTTCGAGTGCAGTTTGTTATTAATAAGCAAGAGTAAATTTTTCAAAGACAACAAAATTGTACGAGCCCGTGGGGCGATTTCAATTTGTATTCTTTGTAAAATTTATCAATGCTCAATTGCACCAAATTGCACGAGAAATCATGTAGTTACTTGTTAATAATGTTTATGAAAAACGCAACACAGAAAGTCAAACGGACGAAATTTTGGCAGTGCGCGCGCTATTTGTAATTTGAACTGTGTGACAACTTTTCACTGTTTAACGAAAAATGCACTCGTTTTCACCCAATCAGACGCGCGTAATTTTTTCATGTATAGTATTATTTCACCGACCAACTAACTTACTCTATCACTAAATGACTTAGTAAAGAATCAAGTTTGACCAGTACATCTTTAGATAATTGAAGGATGCAGGTGAAAGAGCGAAAGTGAGACTAAAAAATGGTCCATTTACCGTATCTCCTAATTCTACGCCTGTGCAAGTTCTCGTGTCTTCGTAAATTTCACCCTTGCTAAGAAAAGATAAAAAGACGCATGAAATATATTAAGGAAGTGGGGTCAGCTTTATTGAGGATAAAGTCAGTTGAAAGAAACCAGAAGCTTGATTTTGGTCGATTTTATATTTTGAGACTATGGTGGAAGCCGCGCGAGTTTACTTTCAGTCAAGTGATGTCGTGATGAGTCATTATTTCCTGTCAAAATATTTTCCACTTTGAAATGAAGTGCTACTTACGGACAGACTGCAGTGTACCGAAGGATGAGCCCGGCAGAATTAGTATCTCGTATCGTCACTGTGCGGGCGATTTTCTGGAAATATGAGAGTGAAATAACAGATGAGTAACTCTTTTAAAAAAAGGGTCTATATTTGCACCCACAACTAGAATTAAGATGCCGAGAAGATTTGTAAAACTGATCAACATTCAACTCAAAAGTCTTTCCCTAATAATAATTTTAATTTTTTAATTTTTTACTGCTAAATTTTGCAATTGAAAAGCTGTCCAAACAATTTACTTCAAAGGTCTTTCAGTTGATTATCGCGTTTCAACAGCTTTGGTTATAACTACTGACCTTATACGCTTCGCCAATCACACGCACAATGTTTGACGAGTCCTCTAAAAGCTCCCCTGTCTCGGCGTAGGTTTCGTTACCTAAAAAGTTTGCTAGTTGCTAAAAAAAGGAACAAAAAATTGGCAGAAGTTGCATTAAATCCACTAAAACACCCTGTGGCCAGCACACAACTGGGATACAAGAGGCGATTATTCAATCATTCGGAAGGAGTCCGAGTGACGTTATCTTGTATTTGAGGATCTACTTTGCTTCCAAGAACTTCTTTGGGCGACTGGGTCAAACTGGGAGAAGGGAAAGGTGGGATAGAGTTCAGTTGCCAGGCTCCCACTGCATAGAAAAAAAACTTTTGATACATGTTATACACTTCTCTTCACTCTTTGACTCCCAAGACCTGATATTTAACTATCGCTTCAACTTCAGTTAGACATTTCCTTGAAAATTAGTTAGGATAGTTTGATGTTAGATTAAGATAAGGACTTCTACCTGATAAGTGTGAGTATTCTCAATGGTAGTTTGTTGGATAATGTACGGGTATCACAGGGAGAGGTCACATTATAATTACCTCTGGGAGTTAAAGGTTTTAAGACTTTTGTTCATGTTCTGATTTATGAACACAAGAAAGTTTATTTTATGTATTTAATTCATGGTGAGATGAGAGAGTGCGTCTTACTTCTGTGTATAAATAGGTGTAGAATAAAGAATTCACTCATGTGCAGTAGACAAATATAAATGTAACTAAGACATCGCATTACCCGCTCAGTAAGAAAGTCAAATTGCGACAAGTGCGTTTTTTCTCGGCCTTGCAATACTTACAGCTCATAATTCACACTTAATTTGAAATTATAAGCATGTTTTTAAGAATTCAGTCAGCCTCTTTGATACGTACTTCATACACTTGTTTTTCCTTGGATGCGACAGCGAAAATTGGAACTACTTGCGACTCAAGTAAAACATCACGGACCAGTCCTGGAGATGGATAATCCTGCAATAGAAGCGGAGAACTTACTTTGAAAAGCTAGCCAGTAGGCAGCATGTAACATTAAGAGTTTGTACGTGACTCGTGATTAAGACCACAATTGAAATGCGACTCGTGAATTTTTACAGAAGGGCAAGGTATGGCGAAATTTGACATTTTTCCTTTTAAATTCATGAATCGCAAAATACTGTTTAAAGTGCATGTGACACGTGAATTTTTCTAAAAATTCGCATGTGAAACGAGGCCCTCACTTTGCTACCAACTTTCAAGACCTACCATGAGCAATGAAGCACTGTATTCTTCGCCGTCCAAATGGCAAAGACCATCGTTAGGAATAACGACTCCGCCAAGCTGTAAAAAGATGACGTGATACGAAGTTTAGTGATACAACATGACGTGAGGTACCTTAATGTAGCATAACGCCAACGTCGAATAATATGGAGTACATTAACTCTTACCAGACCGTCTCCAGCAGAGTGATAAGCTGCATCAGTCGTTAGCACCACTACCCTTCGTGCATCCTCTTTACTTTGCCAACCGATCTCCTAAAAGTGTAGAAACCTTTTTCACTTTAATAATAAGCAAATTTTAAAGTTACTCTTTAAAGTGGCCAATTTATGTTATCAACTCAGTTGATAATACTAAATTACCCTGTTATACCCTCCCATCAACGCAGCACCACAGTTTCTTTAGAAACTTACCCCCTTCATTAAAATTGATATGACCTGGCAGTTCAAGGTTAAAGTGCCAAGTTGCATGTATCATCTATTGACCAACCTTTTCACATGCAGCCACCTGAACGAGAGCCTCCAAACCTCCCTCGGGATTGTCAACATTTCCGGAAGCCATCAGTTTTTCAATAGCGTCCTGTAAATATGTGCATGTATACTGTTCAATGTAGCTGATAAATAATTGTTTTATCAGCATGCATAATGACTTTGCGAGATAGCGTCAGGCCCAAGATGCCAGACAAGTGAAAGAAAGTTTGAGTAGATTTTCCGTGTTCTAAGACATACCTGAAAGTAAGATGTATTCTTGTTCAGCGGCAACACATTATGATAACCAAACGTCGGAGTGGAATTCCCATTATTTGGGTCAGGCGCAGCAACCCTTTATGGAGAGGAAGACAAAAAGGACACAAGAACGCTTGTTAATACAATCACGAGATCATAATAGACAGATAGAAAGCCAACAGAAAAACATACAAACAGATAATCGGATGAAAGGACACATACAGAGATGGAAATGTAGTTTCTTGCATCCGTTGATTGTTAAAGTTGACTCCGCTCGTTCAGTTCCTCAGGTTGCTATGCTTTTGTTATTTATTTTATCCGACCTCCTTGTGTTTTACCCTCAGTGAGAGCTACAGCACACATCATTTCAAATTCAGGCCCAAAGAGTCAGCAGGAATATCAATTTTAAAGAGCTCTGATAAGTGTTGCTGCACTTCTGCTTAAAATATCATCGTTGAGACAAATTGACCAAAACGTTGACCATGTTGTTTGTTATTTAAACCCTTCTAACCCTACTCCACCCTTTACGTACAGAGAGTCACTAAACAACTTGACCTTTAGATACTTACATCACGGGATCTGTGTCCATATATGGAGCTGTGGGCTTGTCAACAAATGCACCAAGTCCAAGACGAAACCTTGAAGTTAGATTTGAAATCTCATCCGCTGTAAAGACAAAATGCCAGTACCCATCCATTTAAAATCATTTTTGAGAGGAGATGAAATTTCTTCAACAAGAGAGTAAAGGATGGCTTGCTAAGGACGTGTCACCACAATATTACTAGAAGCCAGAAAGAACGAACAAACTTACTGAAGTACAGGGAAGTGCAAATGAACAAGTCTAGATTATAGTTTTTAGTTTTGGAGTTGGTTTTTTAAGAAGACGGCGCGAGTTTTCAGGACAACTGCTGAATGAAATTGGGCAAAACTGATGCAATCCAGAATTACTTTTATGAGTCAACGCCTTGTCTCTCGGTTTCTCGATAGGCTGATTACAAAATAGATCAGTTCTACAAGGGCGAAAAGAATCTCCCATGAAGCTACCAACTCTGAGAAGGATTGGCGATTAGCTTTATTGTCCAGAGTAAGAGAGCTATGCATGATACGAACAGACAAACATTTGCCGAGTGTTGTTTACCTAACAGGTGTCCAAGTGATTTTATTGATTCCTTTTTGATAGACCTCGATACGTCCGTCAAGTAATACAAATCAACTGGGAAGTTCCTTGGGGTGTGGACATTTACTGTGATAGCCGTGGAAATTCCTGCCATGTGAAAGTACAATTTCAAATTGTCAACTACACGAGATTACCGTGACTGCGAAGATATCAAATTTCTCGTAGCTCTTACTGTTTTGGAATAAAATAGGAGACGATTCCGCCACAGAATTCAAAGACATTTCAGGCGGCTGTCACTCCTGACATCCATAGAGACGGCGGCCGCCGCAAATTGCATATGGGTGCAACTTCGTCCAAAACGAAGTTGGAAAAAGTTTGGCTGTTGTCAAAAATCGTTCTCAACATTACCCAGCGTTTCCTCAAACTTCCGGCGTACACAATAATGTTCTTTTCGTTTATCCTTCAAATTCAATATCGTTGAGAGCGTTCACTAAGTATCTGCATCAAGGGTGACGGCCCTCGAGTCCGCATATTGTACCTGAAATGTTGCATGTGTTGAGCCACTAAGTTCCAAATATCTTCGAACAATGTTGGATTCAACAATGTGTCATGATGTGGAATCTGTTGTTGTCCGTAAGACAAAAATTTTTCAGCAACGAACCAAAAAATCAATTGGCCCCTTAGTGTAACAACTTTATCTACAGTATGAGGTATTGTACCTGGTCTAAGACGTAGTGTTACATTCTGAGGAGAAACTTTGACATCACGGTCACCGTCTGGCTCGTTGTTCTGAAAACAAACATTGATAATAGCTCTTAAGTGTATGTAACTAAAAAGAGAAGGCTTAACACTACCTAGAGTGACTTAAGAGGTGTGTCGATTACATTCCCTAATTGACTGATACAAGTCAATCTAATTTTCAATTTTTTAATGCAACTTGTTTGGAAATAAACAAAGACTGCATGTGGCTACTAATGTAGCACAACTTTCATAGCATTGAAAAGAACTAGAGGATTGTATAATGACGCTAAAAGGTAGTGTTGCAGAATATTTGTCTCACATGGAAAACAGAAAACCTGCCGCATCCCACATATTTATGAGTGCCTTGTTCCAAAAGAGAAAGATGATTAATGAATGTAGTGACTTATTGACAAAGATTCGACGAGTCGAACCTTTATCTACAGATACATATTCATCCCTGTACCTAGCTTACCGAATGAACTGTAGATCCTGATCCTGGATTAGAGATCTTTCGGCATTTATTCTGTTGATGGTTGCTATGAAGGTCGCATCTCCTTCTCGGTTGATCTAAATAGTGATAATCCTATATTTATATTGAAAGGAAAGAAAGACAGAAAAAAACATAAGAGCAACCAGAACAAGAAACATTGCTTCAGAAAATTTTTGAAAATAATTTTCTAAAAACAAGTGGAATATCCACCATTAATGTATACCACAAAAGTTAAGAGGGCTTTTAGCGCGCGCTGATTGGCTATTTCGGAGGTGAATAGCAAGTACTATTGGTCTCCACGGGTGAAGAATTATTAATTATGGATAAAGTCTTAGATTAAGGCAATTTTCTCCTCTCTTATCCCCGGGTAGGGATGTTCGAAGTAGTAGGGCTCTGTGTGGCATTTGAAAAAAAAATCCCGATTACTCTTAGAATCAGTCATTTTAAACTACCTATGAGCCCGCAGTACTTGGTGTTATTTCAAGGCAAGCTAACTGGCAAAACATTGAACATGCGTTGCATGCATTTAAATCTAGTGTTGACCCAAAGGGTCTGATAGAAAATAGACTCCAACAAAGATAACAGGTTTGGTTAAGGAAAAAAAAAAGCTGTATTAAAAGTTGTGCAGTACCAAGAAGGAGAATATGGCCAAACTTGCTAAGAATGAAAACGGATTACATTTTATAAAGACTTTCCACGGAATAAAACTATCGAGCTTACGCGGTCTTCACACCAACTGCACTCTGGACTACCCAAGATGCATTCTGTACATGTTTTGTACTGTCTGCAGTCAGGATCTGTAGAACCTAGAGAGAAAGATAAGCCACAACTAAACAAGGACACCAAAAAGTGAAATGTGTCCCCCGCACCTAAACTTAAAAAGCAAAAAGTGAAAAAAAGAAAAAGCAACAATAAACGAGCATCTTTCTTTATCACTGAGAGGACTCTGTTAAACAACGTGTGAACTGTAACAAGTTGTAACTTTATTAGACAAAGAAAAATATCAGCCAAAAAAGTTAGTATTCGATACTTCAAAACTTGTCCAATGCGAATATGCAGATTACGCATAGAAAATTGAACAAAATGGAAAATCATTTAGTACGATAATTCTTATTCGAAATCCTTGACGATAGAGAATCGACGCTTAACTGATATTGTCTTCTGCGGAAAAAAATCTTTCTCAATACAGCTGTATTCAAAAAATGAATTTTTGTGTTATGCTCACCTTCGCATAGAAAGCCACACAGTAAAAGCTGCGAGAACACTACTCTCGCTCCCTTCAACATGTCTCAGCATAAAATAATCATAAAATAATCTGCAAAAGAATGGGCACAATGTGATAAACAATGTTTTCATAAATGGAAATTTTTGTACTATTTTTAAGGAAAACAATTTTAAAAGTGTGGTTGGTAAAAGCAATCCATCAAGAAATTGTTGTTTAAAAATGACGAAGTCATTTTGAACCGCTGCGAAAAGCCTTCGACCGTTTTTTTCAAACCTTTGTACTCTGAAGTCACATTTAGAATTCAGCCATTGAGCTATTGGTAGGCCTCCTCGATGGCCAGCCGTCTTTGCGCAAGTGAGGAGAACCAGCGACACTGAAGAGCTCGACAGATACATGAAAGGCAACTCGATAGGAAACTATTTGGACTATTTGATTGTTTTTGTCGGTTAAGTTTACCATAAAATTCCTCACCGATTTTTAACAACTAAAATCAGCTCGAAACCATTTGTTTTCGTATCTGTAGATGATAAACATCTCACATATATTTCCACCACAAATTCCTTTCGTGTTTTCCCTTTAAAATTGATGCTGGCAGTCATTTTGACAAGAAAAGACCAAACGAATACTAGATTACATACAAAAACATCTTACTTTCGACCATGGTATTTATTTAGACACTGCCCGCCATAGAAACCAACATTTCAACACTTTCTGCCTCATAAACAAGTTGAATTGGAACTAACAGTTTATCAAGTATCTCAACTTTTATACGTTTGTCCTTCCAACTAATGGAGCCTAAATATTTTGGATAGACCCGTCGTTAAAGTTTCAATTACATTCATCACTAAATTTTCGACTGGGTTGACCTTCACGACATGATCTGATACAATTTTGACGCCAACAGGTCAGGTTTCGTCAAAGAAATATTTTCACGTCTCAACAAACAACAACGAATATTTTGAAAGTCTACAATAATTTATCGATAAGAAAACAAAGCAGCCCCCTTGGAAAGATGTTTCGGGGGTTAGTTATCAAAGTATGAAATGAATTGTCAACCGTTTGCCAGTAGTTGGTGCTCGAATTTTTTTTTTGACCCTATGGAGAGGTGAAAGCTCTTATCAACGATCACAAAACGAGGTTGAACCAATTTACTTGTTTACTCCGCCAATACTTCGTGAATGGGTGGAGGGAAAGAGGTTGGAAGTCTTGCAAACGAGTTTACCGAACGCTGCGAAATGTTACAAACTAAGGAAATAAAATGATCTGAGAAGAACCATCCCTCGATTTCTGAAAAATTAGTGATTAAACATTTTCGCAGCGACCATAGTTAATAACGGGCTTCAAGGTCATATCACAGCATGTCCATGTCAGAATCACGAGATGTGTTCCCTTTGCGTCCGCCAAAATATCGATCTTGGTTGGGTTTCTTTTGTTGGAATGGTAACAAAAAATTTGGACGAAAGTCGGCATTTTCGCATCGAACAAGGCTATGAAAAGGTTTTATTTCAAAAGCTAAATCGATTTTTCCTACCAGGCTTAAGGCCAAAGCTGATTATATGATAGAATGAGTTGGTAAAGCCTAGACAACTGTTTGCACGGAATTCTGCTTACGTCAGAAGTAACAGTTTGTTTATAGTTACGGGAAGAAAGGTGGAAGGGGGGGGGGGGAAGGAGAAAGTAAAAGAGGGTGAGTCATTGTTACGAAATGGTTTATGGCGAAGGTTTTAAAGTTAAGCTAACTATTTGGAGGAGGGCATACTGTGACCTTCATTATTAGATACCTCTTGGCGGCGATTAGATTGATAAAACACTAAATGGCAAAGTTGTGCTCTCTTTTTCAAAGACGAAAGAGACAGAATCGAAAATCATGTTATTTTCAGAGGAAAATCTCCTTAACGACATCCCCCTCCTGCTCTCTATGGCCATTTTACGGCGGTTTACTCGCTTTTGTTTACTCAGTCAAGGATGACCGGCCGAGAGAATATCTTTTTGATTAAGTTTCTCTGTCTCTTATTCAAATAAGTGTATAACTACTTCATTCTACAATACATTTATCCCAGAGAAACCAATTCAACTTGTAGGTATCATTTAAGGGTGCAAACTTACATTTGCCACCCTTACCAACTTTGAGTACACATTCCAATGTAATCACCAAGTATTGCCAACAACCGACAGAACATCTGTTATATTCGTCAGCCACACTCTCCGTTTCCGTTTGTTCTGAAAAGCGTCCGCAATGAAAAGATTTTCGCGGATGTAGGTCATCAGCGCTTAAATAGGCTAAACCACAGCTACTGTACCTACCGCTAGATATGATCGACTCTCAGTTCTCCTCCGTACTCAACCTGCGGTAAACAGATACGATTATTAATAAATAGATAGGATACAATTTATGAAAGCTGTCCCACAACGTAATTCACCTTTCACGAACTGCTATTCAACTGTAATGTAAAGACACGAACTGGCGTAGTTCCACGCAAATCAAGCAAGTGTATAAGCTAGACGCTTAGAGCAACCAGCTTGAAGAGCTTGGTGATAGACGTTTTGGCGTCTGGTTAAACCACGTAACACGATATACATCAAGCAAACATTACATACCTCGCACTAACTTCGTTTTTTGTGGTCCGGACTGTAAGTTACGGTCGAGTTGTTTCAGCACAGATATATCTCTCAAGCGCGCAGCACGCGAGTTGTAAATTCGAGCGGAGAAAACCGAGGTTTCGTAACTACAGAGCGGACCGGCCAAGAAAACGAGCTCGAGGTTAATAAGATCTTTATTATATCTCTACGGTTCAAATAGAGAGGGGAGATTTCAATTCGAACAAAATTTTGAATTAAGCGGGCCGTACAATAAATTACGGCCCGTAAATTGAACAATTATAGCGCACTTACTAACTACGAGTTGTGGCCTAAAGGCATAATCAGAGCTTGGATTTCTTAAATTAGCGTACATAGCAAGCACTTAATCATGAAAGGATCGTATTTAACGAAAGTTCAAGCAATGTGCCATACGCCATGAGCAATACTAAGGATACTAGGACGGCGTACTAGCGTCAATTTTTATTGAACTGATGTTTTTCTTTACTCGGAAGACAGATTTCACCGAAGAGGAGAGAGATTTCTCGTTGTCTAACTGTGCAAAAACTCTTCTGTTTTCAGTCTAACTAACTGTTTTCAGGCTCAGTCATGGTAATCTCAGCTTCACCGACCTCAACCCACGAGGCGTATCAGAGGCAATACCGCCAGTCTGTAACAGTCATGATAGATACAACAACCGCCCCCCCCCTCCCCCCGCCCCAAGAAAAAAAAAAGAAAAAAAAAAGCCAAAACAAAACAAAGGGAAAAATGACAAAAAATAAGTAAAGGATGCAAGATAAATGTTACATTGATCAAACAAACGAAAAGACACGCAAACTTTATAATTATGATAATATTTGATGTAGGTAACTCAGAATTCATTATAATTCCGTTGGGTTAAATTTCATCGATGAGAAAGGCATATTTTTTTTTGTAATTACAGCTAATGACAGAAGAATGTGGTGAACCTTTTCGTTGAAAACGAATTCTTTGTGACAAAAACAAGGGACTCCAAATCGTAATTAATTTCATTTTAAAAGTAACATAGAAACTCCCACCGCTCTCTAGAATAAGTTCATCTTCGTATATCTCACATCTCTGTTAGCTTAGAAATTTGCAAGTATTAACACCGTTTCTTGAAGTGATCGTAAAGCGCGAGGAAATAGACACGCTAGACAAGTCGTTCGCGCGGCTCCGCGCGTATTTGTCACGGTTACCGTTTGGCAACCCCAATCAAATTTTTCTGATCTGCAGCAAGTAACTGACTTACGATCTACCCTCTATTATTTTGTAAAATAATTTCACATAGCCAGGATAGGCGTGCTGGTGCGTATTATACTCCAACGGTAGACATACACCATCCTTTAAAAATCTACGGAGGGACAAAGAGGCACTGCTTCACTCTATTTCTTTTACTGATGCATTCCATTGTTTGAAGGAATTTCAAGACATCGAGAAATCAGGAGGACACCCTAACAGTCTAAGTTAATACAATAGAATCAATCCACTAGTGTCTGCGGTTTGAAACGGAAATGTCAAAAACTTGGCACCCTTTTGAATATTGACTTATTCTCTGGAAAGAGGGTTTGCGCCGTATCTACACCATAAATGACAAACATCTTCCATATCTAAGTTGTTTAAGCTCGTTTCATGAAGAAAGTAACACAATATTTTTTATCGTGATTGATCATCCATTTCTCCAACTACTCATCAAACACGAATTTCCTGATTAAATTTGTACTTTATTCGGTAGCCTCCCGCCTTCTCATCACATCCACGTTGTAGCCTTGAAATTTTCCACGCAAGCAAAAGTTAATACTTATTTAGTTCACTCGTTCAGAGGATTATTTAATCAATCATTTTAAATTATTTCAGGGAATTATCTCATTGTTCATTTTAATTTTAATTCTCAGTTCCTAACTCGCAAAATAATTTTACGGTTCCTGTTCAAGTTTAGCTTTTCCTGAACCTCGCATTGCATGTTCATGTTTATCATCAACATGCACAGAACATTTTTCCGGTAAATTTTAATCAAGTTCAAATCAGGAAAAAAAATTATGTTTGCTTGTTCTACGCCTATGGCAAATCCGATTCATCTAATTTGGTTATTTTCAATTATCATACCTATTTTTGGTACTGCTTGCTATTTTTTTAATCAAAACCCTTAAACAGTGTTGTGCACGTTTGCATAAATTCTAGACATCGTAGAATTTGAACACAACACAGGCGTACATCAGCAAAATTGCTTCAGTTTACAACTCTACTTTTCAGTTTTTCGTTGAGGTTTACCGAGTAGAAAGGCTAAGAGAATTATTTCAAAACATCGGGATATCTATTTCCTATAAACTACTAACAATAGAAATTAAATTTCCCTAATTAAAACCACATTTTTTCCTTAAATACAATGATTCCGAGGTATTTGCTCAAAAAGTAGACAAGACATGAACACTTAACTGGACTGAGTAAACGTTCTGATTTGTCAAAGTAATCAAGGTGTTTATCATCTATTTACTCAGAGAAAGCGATATCTCACGAAAAAGCAAGCGAGGTCAAAATTCATTTGAAACCAAAACACTTCTATGCATACTAACAATGTTCACGCGACCTTGCGTGTTATCGCGCCATTTGAGAAAGGGAAACTCTGAATTGAATCGCTCCAACAAAAAGAACCTCGATATTAAACCTCACTAGCAGTTCGAGCCCTCTTTACGTAATCGATAATTTTGTCAGATTTGTATCTTTACCTAATGCGTAAGCTCCAAAGGTAAAGAGATCCGATTCAATATCTATCCTGGACGTTGATAACAGGCGTACATTCATGTAACAAAGTCGTAAGCTAGATCGTAGCTCTCGGGCAGGGGAGGCGTGAAAAATAACGGGCGTAAAACACTAGGCCATTGTCGAGAGAAGCCTAGCTCAGGCAAAGGCATTTCACCACCCAAAATTCTGCCTTTTTTCGCCCGCCAGCTCTTAAATTGTCTCCAATCATACATGCCACAAGCTACTGAGTAAAGAATGTAAAGACAACTTCAAGACAAGATAGGAGATGAGGATGTGAGATGTTACTTACGTAGCTTTTGGTTCAACCACCTTATATCAATTACCTCAAAAGAAACTTGTAACACCTCAGCTTTGGAACGCATTGAACACGCTTGTTTAGACCTGTGACAAATGTTTTACGGCTTATCAGTTCAAAGTGTAACATTTGTACACAACCTTTTTGTTTACGCTGGTGACGTCATTTCCTTTTTTGTTATGGAATTTACAAGCAAATTAACATCAGAAATAATAAACATTTTTAGACGGAAATTGGAAAATTGATGTTGACAGGGAGACAAAGTCTCTGTTCTAGAGATAAGTAGAAACCGTTTGCCACAAAATTATATGATTCAGCACATGTAAATCACACATAGGTCTGCAATGTTATCTCCCGATCCAGTCTCTGAACCAACTTTTCTACCCGAGAAATAGACGAGCCATATGCGGAAGGTCGCATCCTCATCAAGTGCTCTGTAAATACTGAAATCTCTAGGTAATGCCTCGAAGATAGAGGTCTTGTTGATTTTAGATTATATTTGGTATTCCCCCGTGTTTGAGCTGCTTTTAATTCTATTCAAAAAGTATCATGTGGGTTTTTAACGTCGGTTTAAAACCATGAATAGAGGCCGTTATCATCATTATTATTATCATCGTCGTTGTTATTGTCATTGCCATTATTATTATCATTTTTTATTATCATTATTATCATTAAAGGACCAGACCTTACCTCATATTTTACCGTGTTTTCTTTTTTTAACCTGACGCGTTAATTGTCACAGAAGACAAGTTCGGTGTTAGAGACGCCGACGAAAGGATTTTTATGTTCAAGCCTTCTGGGACCTCTGCAAACATCTTGCATGCTCAAATCGCCCACCGGCTCAAAACCCGCATGCCGCGCCTTTCCTGTCGCTGCACCCATGAGAGCCTGCTTGCTGTCTACCCTTTGGTTATGTCTGCCTCGTTTATCTTTTTCTTGGAAAGCTTCTTTTTATAATTGCTATAATTATTTTTCACAGCAATATGGGCCAAATGGAGATTAATGCCATGTGTGCATTGTCGAGTCTCAAAACATGTCAGTGTTATATGAGAAGTAGAATTCGTCGTGAGGAACACCCAGAAGAACAGAAAATCAAAATTGCACTTTCAATTCACTGTATTCATGAAATGGGACATCATTCAACAAGATGATACTAATAAATATATATCAGAAACAATTTAATTAGATTTGATTATTAATCTCGTGAATCTCACCTTAAATTCCTGAGTTTTAGTTTCCCTGTACAGGTGCGTTGAAATCAATGGTGCCTCGATCCGTCTAGTGGCTGTGAAAGTGACATCTTTCAAGTCAATCTTTTTCCGTTTCTTTTTTCGAAAAGTACTTTTTGCCATTGAATAGTAAAAAGTGACAGAATTGAGCTGTAAAAGGACCACACCGCTTAACAATACTTCGCTCAGTGAAGACCCTAGCATAAGTTTCCTTTGACCTTTGGTAGCGGTTGCGATCAGCTTCGATACTTGCAAACATTGACTTTGTATTGGCTATCTGTTTTACATGCACGAAAGATTTCCTTACTATCCGCAGGGGCCCACGACTTTAATCTCGCGGTAGTTGGGGAGTTGCTCACAAATTCGACGTCTACGTCTGGCTGATTTTTTTATTCTTATTCTTTTTTTTACCTCTTCTTCTTCCTGTTCTTTTTCTTGTTCCATTTTTTGCGTCTTTCAGTTCCTTTTATTGAAGTAACAGGAAAAGTGTGGGGAACATGCAAATTGTGCAAAATTTGCGCCTAGAGGGAAATTACACCTACCTATATACCAAAAAAGCTCACGAGTGAAGACTTGTAAAACTGCCCCTTCTGAAGCCAAGGAGTGAAGTAACCATCCCAGACAGGGAGCTAGATTGAACATTTTTGGAGACAAACTAACTCACAATACTACTTCACAAGACTTGAGAATGGAACCTTTAAGAGGCTGGGAAGGACCCTAGTACAGACCCGCGAAGTCGCGAAGGCGAGAAATGAAGACGGATTATAAGAACATCAGCAGGATGTCATGTCAGCGGAGGCACGACGCACCGGTGACGATGACGATGACGATGACGATTCCACCAGCACACATATTTATAATCATCTCAGCAATTCAGAAGGAGAAATTGATTTCCTTGAGAATAAATCGTGTGATTCCATTTCTTCCATATCGACTTAGCCAAACGTATACGTTATATATATAAGGGACGATGGGATGGCTTTCTAGGATTCAGAAACCATTAAATGAGTGGTATGTGATCACCTTTTGATGACGTAAACAGTAAAAAATGATCATTTTAAACTTGGAATTTCAAAACTATTTTCAAATCTTCGAAGAACTTAAACATGTATCGAACACACTTTATCAAAATCTGATTCAGTTTTATTAGTTACTATTCCATTTTTCTTTTCCAAAAATTAACTAATAGTGAGACATTAACAGCAGAAAATTCTCTCTGTTCCAATTGCTTGGGTGCTATGATTGCAATGCCCGTGATTCGTGATGTAACTTTGAACTTAGGACACTACGGACACGTTGCGTGACTCATCTTATGTGCTGAGAATGAAGAGCGATGGTAATTAAGTTTCCCAAAACTACAAACGAAATGTATGGCAACTGACAGTTGTTTCCACTTTGCATGGCACCATTTTGATTGTTGCCTCACAGGAGATAACAGCCTTCATCTCACAAAAGGGGCTTCAGCAAAACTGTATCAATTCAAGAGCGCGCAAGTTAATGGAAATAGGGTAGTTTTTTCGTCTATTAACTGTTTTGGTTCCCGTTGTACGAGTTGAATTGTGAGAGAATTCTGAGAGCTAATTAGCTTCTTGTGGTACGTCATTACGTCACGCGTGTGCGAACGGGTCACTTAGATGTTTTCCAAAATGGGGCCTTTCATTGTTGGATTTTTGGTACATTAAAGGCAGTTTTCGAAGGGTTAGGTTACTATTTGGAATCTTTTGATGCCTTTAACAATTAATCCTGAAATACTTTTTTTTTTCTCTGTGATAACTATTTCATGGGTACCGCAGTGTGAGCTGTTCCTTCTATTTCCCTAAGAAAGGAGATTAAAGAATGAGCTCTGCTTTATGTTTGTTTGTTTGCTTGTTTTGCCCTCATGGCAAGGTGAAATAAGACTGGGTTTTATATTGAGTTTCTATATTTTAAACATGAACCTATTCGAGTCGATCATTCAAGCCATAATTGTGGCATTAAAGTTGCATCATAGGTCACGCAACGCTCATGGAGAGTTGCGTGACATACTAAAAAAGAACAACTTCGATCGAGACTAGCGTCTGCCTCAGATGCTTATAATATTAAAAATAGACGTTAAGATGAAATAAGAATTTCTTGAAAAGTTTGATGTTAAAGATGCTTGTGAATTTCTGGTTGTACCATTTTGATAGTTGTTCTCTCGCTAGATATTTTTGTAGACGTATTTGAGATTCGGTGATGTTGATGATGGACAGGTAGTGCTAAGTTTTCATACTGAACTTCAACTTAATTTCAACCTTGTTATGCGACCAATTTCTTACAATTCATTTTTTTTAATTTCTGAAAAATCCCCCTTTGCTGATGAAATATTGATTTCTTTTTTCGCTTTTTCCCACGACACTAGTCAATCGGACAAGATCAATACTGACGTAATCTTTTTGAAGTACGGTAGTACGTATTTTTAGAGAAAAATCAATATGCGCCCTCCACTCTTCATAGCTTAATTATTTTTCTGCTCAAGAAAGTGGCTATGTTTAATTATCAACTTCACAAGGTGTAATTCTGATTGGTTGAGATTACGCGCCATTGTCCCTTACCGTTGTTTGATTGGTCAAGTTGTGACAATATTTTTATTGAGAAATTGACGTTGCTTTGCTAATTTCACGAGCAAATTTTACGGAGCGAACCTGAAGTCGCTTGATGATGGAAAATGCCGACTGAAATCCCTTTTGTCTGGCGTATTTTTACGCTGCCAGGCCAAGGAGGCAATCGGTAGATGCGGTCGCTAAAGTTGTGGTTAGTTTTGCTGGTTTAAAGATGCATTTTTATCTTTACCATTACAGGTTAATTTGGAGATCATTTGTGGAAAGTTTTGCGGATGACCATGGTTTCATTCTGCTTCACAAATCAATTTTCTCTTCCGAAGGTTGTTTAAATCCTTTTGATTATACGACCTGTTTTGATGCAAAGAATTCATTTCTCAGATATAGTGTTGGTTTTACGTTTGATAGCAACTTAAAATTTTGATATGACGCAGAAATGTGACTCGATCCGTCGATCGGTCGGCAAGCTCAGTTAAACCACAACAATTAGGCAAGAATATTAAACACAGGGAAGCTACACTTTTAGAACTTTCATAACATAGATTAAACGCACGATCGTCTTTAAAGGGTCACTGCAGTGTATACTTAGAGGTGAAATCGTTTGCATTTGGTTAACAACAGACAAAAAATCGACCTACGAGGTCATTTCCTGTCGATTTTGACGTATTTCCTTTCGACGAATCGAGTTGAAAGTTTTTGTACAATACCCGTAGAACGGCGAGTTTATCATAGCTGTACTCAACTCACGTACCTGTATATTCGGTGAGTCTTTAAATTCTAGTGAGCTTTTCAAATTCCTTGCGATCTTTCGGCGAAACAAGATCTTAGTTAGAGTTTGGTCGCGAGAGGTAATAGAGTAAGTCTTATGATAGCTGTGTCGACGTGTCTTTGGTCCGTTTGTTTAGCCAGTCGGATAAAAATTTAATCAGGAAAGTTTGCTGAATTTCCCAGTTTCCTAACGGTGGATAATCTACGCATGATCATCGCAGAAATTTTGAAATGTTGTTCTTTATAAAGACTAGTAATTTGAATGTTTATGTTGTCGAGCAAGTGGAAGCCTTCCGTAGAGCGATCATATTTTGTGTATGATTATAACATCAACAGGTTTTTGGTTTCGTGACCATGGCAAAAGAAACCCCAGGACTCTACTAAACTCAAAATGCCTGTGGAGGAGAAGAGAGACAAGGCACAGACATCTACAGTGAATAGGTAAGTTGTCCAAACTCGCTTCAAAAAATTTTTACCTCGATTTCAAGTACATGGGTTTTTCGGTTCATGTCAAACTCGCTACTTGCCAGAATGTTTACGGTTTTCATACGGTTTACTTGACCATATCTGAGTCATTTTGAAAATTTGAGAAGGAAGTCGTTTTTATTCAGGAGTTGTCAAGGAAAAGACTATTATGTAAACTACAACATCATTAATCACATCTTATTTTGCCCAAGGGTATTTACTAATTTTGCGAACGTGTAGTGCCAGTTGTCGTTTTCGTTTGCGCTTGATTGGCGCTAATTTGCATTTATTTCCCAAAAGCGCCTCGAGAAGCATTTAAGTGAGAATTACTGTGTAATGTGTTTCTGCATGAAAAAAAAACCAATATTCGCAAAATTCTCTTCCTGAATACGAAAACGTAGACTTACAAAATAATATTTTGATATATTGGATGTATCAGCTAGGTACCTCAGGTATCCATTAGGCAAAGTTTTTCTATATACTTCGTTAAGTGGTTTTCAATCATATCGATCTGTCGGGGCTCTTCTGATGAAAGCTTAGAGCGTCCTTTTTTTTCTGTTTGTCGGAGTATTTCAAACAATTTTATTTTAGTTATGAAGTATTGTGTAAATAGACTGTATCTGAGAATAATAACCGGGGAACAGTGAATTTAACTTGAATACCAAATAGAATCATTTGGTGTGTAACCGCAAAATCTTTTCTCTTCGTATTTAAATAGGACGCAAATTCGCTGACGAGATTCGTGAATTTTAATTCTTCGTATGTGGTCGGGTTTTTTAAGAAAACTGACAAAGATGTTATAAATATTTCTCTGTGGGAAAGCTGCAAGGGGTTGATGTGATTGAACTTTGTTCTTCCTTCGTTAATTTCCGACACATCCACAATTCAGCACAACAGTACTTGAATCTCTTTCCGTTGAAGGAAATCATGGAGATACAATAACTTTAGAACCTCCTGGTAGCTTTTGTGACTCCAACTGAAATATAAACACATCCCTAAGAAGTCTATGTTTTGCTCTCAAAACAAATAAATGGCAATCTTGAAAGATGCCTTTAAAACCCTTTTACATAAAAGCATTAAAGTTTAGCCCCTAACTTCACGGGTGGATTGATATTCGGTATGATAAACATACTTCAAATTTTTACCTGGAGCTTAAAGGTTAGGAAACTTTGGATTAATCCCATTTTTCTACAATTTGATGATTGAATACACTAAAATGAACTGGGAAAATTTTCCCAAATAGTTATTTGAACAGAGAAATATAGAGATCTGGATTAAAATTTGACCCTGGGTTGGTGCTAATCGGCCTTTGAACAACTGGGCCCTGTACATATATGTTACTATAGACTAAGTTTTTTTTTCAATTTTGTGCATGAGTACCTTCATCATGCATAAGATTAGCAAGTGATGTGTACCCTAGAAAGACACTTTTGTAGGATCAAAAAGATAATCACCCTTGAAAGACACTTCTAACCAATGCGTAGATTTTCTGATGTTTGCAAGAAAAGAAATCTGCAGCTAGAGTCTACCATAAGAATTGTGTCTGTAAGATGAGTAGTAACCCAGATAAATGTAAAACCCCTTCTTGGCACTCTTGTTTTTGCAAGAAATGTCAAGTACATTACGTCAAATGTCTTTCAGCAGAGTGAGAGTTTTATTTTGCTTCTTTATGTAAAAATTGAGATCTAGTGGCTATGCTATAAGGTATCTAGTTGATAACTTTAACAAAAAAAATAACAAATCTTTGTCTCTCTTTTCATTTCAGGGAGAATGAAGAAAAAGATTTATCCAGATTGTTAGACCTGCTAAACACCCCAGCCAGCAAACAACAGGTATATAATGTTGTACATACTATATTTCCTCAAACAAAAAATCATTCTCCAACTATTACACTACCTTTTCTATTGATTAAGTGCCCCCTATTTTGATCAAAATTTTGGATAAGTAATTGAAGGTTTATTTTAAGAAATGTGGTACAAACTTCATCATCATCATCATCATCATCATTTATTTGCCATTTTAATATTACAAAAAAACTTTCCCCAGCATTATAGTTTGCAGGAGGTGAGGTGACCCAGGAAGCCACTGGGCCTATGGGAGAGGACACCTCACTCATAACATATCTAAAAAGAATATATGCTGCAAATGTGTGGCTTGGCCATTTCAGTGATTATTTAAGCAAAACTCTGGCATTTTTGTCTTAAAGCTAAGAAGATTTGACAAATGAGTGACTGAAACAGGAAGAGAGTTCAAAATTTTAGAACCTTGGTAGAGAATTATAAATTGCTAGAGATTTGTACAACACAAGTGTGTTTTGATAATTGCTGGCTGCTCTGGAACCATAGCAGTGAATTTGGCTATTTTGTTACAAAAAGATTGAGAAGTAATAAAGCATGAATTTGGTGATTTCAAATTGATTTGGAGAGTATGTAAAACTCCTAGTTTGGAGAATAAAGGAGTGGAATGAACTTGATAGTTTAAATTTAGTGATAGCCCACATAGCTTGCCTTCAATTTTAAGATGCCCAATAGGAAAAGTTCTCATTTCAGGCCCTTCATTGGAACTTATTGAACTTGTATTTTGACCCTTTACTTTTAAGCTTCCTTCCATCTCTTGGATCCCAGATGAAAATCAGAACACCACAGGTAATCCATGGGCTGGGCAGGCAAATGGAGTGTTACCCCATCAACACCAGTCAACTGAAGCTCTTGCTTTGGAGAAATTCAGGTATATATAAATTGGGATAACTTGGTTTTTTCAACTGAGTTGACAATGTAAATTGGCCACAATAAAGAGTTTCTGGGGTGAATTTTTAAGCCTTAGCTCTTTGTCAGAGCAGTGGTCATACATCATCAACTCAGTTGTTAAAACCAAATTATCATCCCATACTCCCCCACTGATGCAGCACTTCAGTTTCTTTAGGAACTTATCCCCTTTATATATAAATTGGTTTTTTGGTTGAATGACTTCTGAAATTTGAGTTTTCTGGTATTTACTTGGAATGCATTTATGGTTTGCCTTTAACAACTTTTGACTTTCAAATGACATTTATTTACAAGTGACTCTTCATTCTAAACATTTACCACCTAAATAGTTTGAAATTTCTACTGCTTTTTTATAGATAACACTTATCAGCTAATGATTCTTACCTTGCAATTAGTTAACATAGAATCCAAACAAAAGAATAATACGCAGTTCTGTTACTCACAGTAATGCATCATTTGATCTGAAATGAAATTATTCAAGAATGACATGAATTAAAACAAGAAAAAGCGTAATTCATGCTTGTGACAGTCAAATGTTATAAAACATGTGTTTTGTGAAACAAACTTAACTATAGATGTTTAAGACTTGGTTGGGAACAAAATCAAAGGCTAACTAATGATATTAAGGTATTTAATGTTAGTTACTTAGTAATACCATCTATATAATCTTATCTTTACTAAGCCACTCTTTTAAATAAAAATGTTACTGGTAATGTTGTGGTTCTCTTTTGGTGTGCTTGTGAATGCAGGCAGTGTTCCTGCTTTTGGTAAAACTTGCTGCTGATAATTTACAGTTGTATGCAAGAAAATTTATTTCTTTTTGTGACAAGATTCTCCATTTAATCAACAGCTCCAGGTACCAGGGAGTCAGGAATTTCAGTTCACATGCCCTCAGCAGTTACTTCAGCCAGGTCAGTTAGGAACTTGGAGCTCAATAGAAGAGTGTTATCTATAGCTTACAGCACTGTTATAAGTATGATACATTTCTATGTATAGCATGCAGTTATCTGGTTTACATATTCAGAGATATAACTGGCAATCTCAAGGCAGCTTTTGCATGCCAGCTTGGTTGTCAGTATAATATTAGATCTAATTGACAAATGAAGAGAAATGAAAATGAAGGTACTGTGCCTCCTGGTACAGTCTTAGATGGTAGTGTGTTTGAAAAGAGGTGTTGTTGGAACTCATGGGTATTTCCTTGCAAATGTTGGGAATGCCTTTGATTATATTCTGGCATTTGAGGATATCATGGGGGCATCAAGAATTATGTAAAAACCCCATGACTTCTGTTTACTCAAAAAGTGGCAAGTGTAAAGGATTTTTATACGTTGCTAAATGGTGGTTTTCATCTATGTGAGGATAGTTTTTGCAGAAAAACAAGTTCTTATCAAGGACAAACATGACATGTTTGTGGTCTTTCTATTTAGATTTTCACAGCCCTTGTAAAGCAGCGAGTTTGCTACCTGTGAGTATCAGTGTTACAGTGAACAGTATAGACCTTTTTCAAAATGGTGGGCATGATTATTAGTCTTTAATGCATATGCAAATCAACCTTCCTGGCCTCACATTAGCATGAAAATTATTGCGTTTTTCAAACATGTTGTCGAGGCCAAAAAGGCTAATTTTAAAGGCTAAATTACATGGAATTTACAAGTCCTAGAGAATAACAGTTAGGTACACCATTTATTAAAGGGGCTTATGGTCTATATTTAGCATCATACTTGTATAAAATGAAAGACAAGTGGGACAGATTTAAACTTGCAGTCTTCACAAGATTGAAGGGACAATTTATGAAGAGTTGTTAGAAAATTAACTTACAAGGAAATGTTTTTATTTGACATCAGTCTATTTTTAGATATTATTTTTTTGCAATCCATTACTAGGCATGCAAATAATTAGCTGATTACGGAATTTGTTGTTTTAATTTGTCTTTTTTTTTTCTGTCTCAATTAGGGAGTGGATTGAACGAGTTCCTCCAGAAAATATTCTGAGAGTGCTAATATGCCTCAGAATGCTTATGAGGGACCACACATTTCAGGTAATTACAACTGAACAAAGATTTACTGCATGGTCAAACTTAAAATAAAACCAAAAAAACAATTGGTGTCTTAGGTCTGGTTTTTTGTGTTGTACGTTGGAAGCCTTTGAACAAAGCACCAGTATTGTTGAACCTTAAAACAAATTGTGGTCTCAAGTTAGGGGCTCTACATTTGGAATTTCATGCTTTGTCTTTTAACAAAGTCTAATAATAAACTTTGGAGTTTAGCTGCAGAATTTGGAATTTTTTAAGGATTTTCATGTCTCATGTTTTGATTAGGTTTTGGTTGTGAGGTCTTACCTTTCAGGGTTCATACTCGAGTTTTATTTCGACCTGTTATGTGGGGGGATACCAAGGCCTAATGGTCAGTTAATGTAGGTTGTGCTCAGGGTGGTGAGGTCTTAGCTACTACCAGACTTAAACTTACTGCACAGGTACATATTTACAAGAACAGTGCCCTAGTTTTTTTTATTCATGATGTAAAAAAAATGCAATGATAAAATATGAATGTTTTTTCATGAATTGGGAATTAATAATTTTCCCTTTTTACAGGTTGAATTTTTCAATCTAGGTGGTGTGAAAGTCCTTGCAGAGGTTTGTTTGTTTTTAGTGCTTATATGAACTCAACAAGTATAATTTACCAACAGCAACACAATAATAATATTAGTTGATTTATTTCTGAATATAAACCAAGGGTGACCTCTTAGTATTTCACTGTATAACTTGTTCCAGGAGGGTGATAGACTGCAGCCATTTGAAAAAAATTAGAGCATACAGTTGTATGCTCAATCATACAATAGGGTGGCCTGTTATCAAAACCAGTTTGAAGAGAAAAATCCACCATTTTCTTGGATATTAGGTTGGCAGTTACTGATTATGCACAAGGAAAGGAACTTGGGTCGCAGAAGATGGACAAACTGTACAAGCTTATATGTATATTTACGCGAAGAATGACTGGGAAAAAATGTGACTAGTTTGCTGGAAAAAAAATTCAGCCTCTCATTATTAACAGACTTAGATTGGTCTGTCATTATTATCGAATATATCATGTACTCACTGCAGTGTTCTCCTTCCTCCATTGTGTACTTGATGAAATATCTTTTTGTGAAGTTTTGTTGCAATGTTGTTCTAGATCCAATTGTCTGGAGTTTTTTTGGACACAAATGATAATTTCTCTCCTGTTTGTTATCAGAGGCTACAACTATTGACTGAAAGTTATCTTGAGAATGGAGAAGAGCCATTTACTGTTGACATTCTGAAAGAAATGACAAGTAAGGATCTTACCATGAACATTTAGTGATAATTTCTCTGTACTGATATGGCTTTGGTTCTTGTTTGTCATCGTGTTTTAAGTCTTGATGTGTGTGGTGTAGATGTGCCTCCGTGCACCGGGAGTAAAAACTGGTACTGGCAAATGGTCTGAGAACCCTGAAAAAATGCTGAGGGAATGTGGAGTGGAACTAGTATCACATCCAGGGGGAGTTGCAATTCCTGCAAGTACATGTTCCTGTAGTCACCTCATGCTGGAGAAACTGGGATATGCTCTTGCATCAAAGCTAATGAGTCTTTTTATGCTTATGTGATATCTTTTTTTTTCAGACATTTGTCAGAAACTTGCTGCAGATGTTAAGCAGAGGGAGTGGCTTGTGGCATGTTGTACTCATAAGGTACATGTGTATGTAATACTCTACAAGAGTATTTTTCAAGTCTGGCAACAGCCATCAGTTTAGTACAAGCAAAAAGGAAAGTTATGGCAAACAAAAGAGACAGCAATTTTCAGAGGAATCTAATAGAGGACTCTCTTCAATCCATGATTGCCCCCTAGAACTGCTTGCAAATTCACCTTTGCCTTTTGCTTTGTCCAGGGCACCGATGGGTTCACCTTTCCACATTACTCCTACCTCCATCAGAGGTGTCTCATCATTTCATTTATGAACATGATAGTGTTGAAAAGGTACATACATGCACATTGAGTTAGTATGTGTAACATGTGTTGTACCCAAATGACATGTACATGCTCTACCTTGTATTTCCAGGCTCTTGTTCTTCTGTTATCTGCTAGTGATGTGATGGTTCTTCATTGTTCCTTGTATGCCCTGATTGGCTTGGCTCAAAGGTTAGCTTTATGTAGAGATCAGTTTAACATATCTTATATGCCATTCATGTAGTTATGAAATAATGCAATTAGGCTTGTTAAACCTTTTATTTATTTGATGCATCATTCATGACCATATTACACATGTACAAACTTTAAAGTGCAAAATTGTGCAGGGAGGCAAGTTGCTCTGACTAGTAATGTCAGACAGTGATGCATGACCATCAATGTTGTGTTATGCTTTGTTACATGGTATCCTCAGTTTCCACAGTTACATTTTTTTTTGTTTTTGTATTTTGTAAATAGTGAGAGACCACGAGCTCTGATTGGTGAATTGAATTGCACAGAGATTCTATTAAGAATATTACAGGAATATGACATCCTTTCCAAAACGTAAGTTATGTGTATGTGATAAGAGGGTTTTCAATCCCTCTTGACATTCCTTATGTCTATTTTCAGTCTTATGATAGGTCTTTTGGTCATATGATTTATTTATTTATTTTTTTTAAGTGTTTCCTTGTTAAGGTTGGACTCTTATTTACTTATCTATGCTTTCTTATTTGCCCTATGTGTTATTTTGATGAACATTGGATTCCACAACTCTTATATTTTCTTTCGCATCAATGTTTGTATTAGTCTGGCAGCTGATCTTCTGAGAATATTGTGTGCTGACAGCAGTATCGGAGAGCAGGTTAAGGTCTTTGATGGAATCCCAATTTGTCTGAGGTGAGAGATGCTTCCTTTTAAGTATGTTACCCTTCATCAAGTTGGAGTTCAATCTTTAAAACAATTATCTTCTAGAAGTAAATGTTTGTTGTGTATCATCAAAAGAAACATTGGGAAGGCTTCTTTAGGCTTTGTCCACATCAACCTGGATAGTTTTTAGAATGGACTCAAGCTTCAGCCCACCCCTAAACTGTATATTCAAGCTGTTAAAACAGACAGAGTTGATTACCTATCCTGTGAGGGCAGACAAAAATGGAGGTTTTTTAATAGTAGAGGTGATGTTCTTGTCTGAAGTACCAGATTATCTCAACATAATCATGCACAATGTACAATTTTACAGTCTATCAACAGTATTTTCATGTTTTCTTCAGCTTGCTACATTGTGAAAATCTCAAGCTTCTGTGGAACGTGGTTAGTATATAGAGGCCAGTCCATTGATGATTCCACTAATTTTTACTTTCAGTGACATGTGCATTGTCACATTGCACTTACATGTATCTTATGCTATTGTTTTTGGTTTACTTATTGTAAGGTATGGATTATTGTACAACTGGCTGAAGATAGTGACTCTAGCAATGACATCAGAGTTCTTGGTGGAATTCCTTTACTTCTGGCACTCCTTCAGTAAGCAAGATTCAATATTAATTATGGTATCCTTACTGTCTCCCATGTATTTGTGAATTTGGTGTTAAGACAAAAAAAATATTCCATGTTCATAGTTCTTTAAAAATTCTCATGCCTTCTCTTATTGATAATGTAATGATCTTTTATCTAGAGGAACAACCCATTTATCACCCCTGTTAGTGAAAGGGTTAATGTTCCACAAGCTCTTTTGTTTATTTTTAATGACAAACAGTATTTATCACCTGGGCCAGGCTGTACAAAACCTGATTCCTAAACCTTTGTAAGAGTTTGAAACTAAGTCTGTTACCACAAAGGGTCAAAGGCATATCAATACATACATGATCTTGAATTTCCTCTAAGGGACCTTGGTGGCGTAAGGGATAAACAGTTATCTGTTGCAACCCTCTGACAGCCAGTAGAATACTCCATGCACTCTGTTGCATGTATTGAGAACTTTTTCTATGCAAGGCCAATGGCTATATTGTGACAAACATAACCTGTCACACTGCGTAGTCTGCTTGCTAATAAATCAGCCACTTCAGAGTCTTAAGAGTGAAAAAAATAGGAACAGTTCTTAATTACTTTGTCTGTTTTTGCAGAGATCGGAAGCCAGAGTCAAGTGCTGAAGTATTATATCTGGGCTCTGATACAAGTTCAAAAGCATCAATCAGTGCAGAGGTAAACTGCAGCATGTATATGTAATGTAAGGGATCTTGATTACATGTGCACAGTGCAGGTCAAATAAAATGTTTAAGCATGAATGATTCTATTTTAACCTGAACATACTTGTACACTGTAGGCTCGTAAAAGTCAAATATTAGTGTAAATTTGTGCATTGTCATGGTCACATAAAAAATGCAATTCTTTTAAGGTCAAAATATAACAAGTAACTTATTTAGTAGTTTTGATGTCAATGAACGAAATGTCATTCATTGATGAAACTCCTTTTCAAATATACAACATTATCTAGACGAAAGGCAACATTGATTTAAGTGATGAGAGACAGTTAAACACCAATGCAACAAGCTATAGGGCATAAAAGTTTACACATCCCTGGTGTTTGGTCTCTGATTTTAGGCTGAACCTTTGACACTGAAATACATGTACAATTTAACTTTTACTGCAATATGCTGCACTGATACCTTTTCCAGAGAGTAAAATTGCATTTGTGTTGTTGCTCAAGCAGACTGAGGCTGATTCTGGAGAAGATACCATGCCTTTGAAAATTGGTGAGTTATGGAAACCTTCTCCCCCCACCCTATCCTCCCCAAACAATAATATACAAAGGGATAGCAATGCATTGAAAATATATTAAACTTGTACACATGTAGATCTCAGTGCAAGCCAGTCAGCATTGATTTGAGGGATAGGGATGAAGTAAAATTATTTGTTCTTATAGAAAATTTGGTTGAGAAAATGCGATGCTAATATTTAAAAATGTAATTCTAAAAACCTCTTTCAGGAACCTTCTTGTTTGAGTCATCTGCAACCACATGTAGTTCATAATGGGCAACTTTCAGTTAAAATCACGATGAACTGATCTTAGTGATTGTTTTTTATTTTCGGGTAGCTGTGTGCTCTGCCCTGACTGAGCTTGTTGTCAATGACACTAATGGACAGCAAATTGTGCAGGTGAGGAGTGTAAACTGAATGTTTTCTCTCAAAAGAAGCCAAATCTTACCTTCTGAATGATTCATCAACCACGAGGCTTGTTAGAATTTTTTAACGTGTAACAGGAATATCACAGTTACATCCGGAAGGGATTCTTATCCACTGGCTCTCAACATTCAGAGAGTAATCACGTTTCTTCGATTATTTTCCGGTATTCAGTTATATTACAAGGTGTAGAGAGTCGAATGTCAAAGCAATTATTTTAGCCTAGGAAACACAACTCCATGACCCGACGAGAATAAACTTGGACCTCTTCATTCAAAGTCCAGAGAACAGGGTACCAGGCCACCGCATCTTGCATTAAAATTGTGACAAAAACTCCAAATACATTAATTACATAGCTTATGCTTTTGTTTCATATAACACATTACAAACAACAAAGCGTGAGTCGGCAAATACACAAAGCGTGTTAACCTTCTAATTCAACTGCTTGCGTGCGAGTGGACACAGCATACTAGCGTGTAACCTAGTGTGCAGGACGCATTTTAACTAACGTAAAGCTAGAGTAATAATTGTATGGTAAATATTCTCTCATTATTGCCGTAATACTACTAGGTTAATTAAACCGAAGCTCGTATCGGTTTTGTTATAGTTATCAACTTCGGTAAAATTTCCGCACAGCCCCATACTACATTATGCATTCAGTTCTTGGATAGAGAAAACAATGAATAAAACAATACATCGCCATTGGGAAAACAGATTTGTTTTACAATAGTATGGGGCTGTGCGGAAATTTTACCCTTCAGTTACTTTGTTCATGTTGAGAAGTGATTTTTAATGATGTTTGTGGTATGTTGAAGTACAAAATCTAACCCAGTACCGGAACGAATTCCGACGATCGCCAAAAACAACCCAAGACGTCCAAGATATCAGGAAATCGCCATAACATATAGCCTTAAACGGCCAAAACATTTGAGTAAAATTACATTCCATCGGATGGCCAGAGCGATTTCAAGGGATGGTAAACAAAACTAAAAACGAGAAAGAGTGTTGTTCTCCACAACTCTTTGTTTCCGAGAACATTACGGATAATACATCAAATTTTGATGCATTAGGACTCTCCCATGACATGTTATCACTCTCAAAGAATTAAAAGCAATTAAAACTAGAGCACGTAAAAATAAGTAGAAAACAATAATAAGGAGAGATGACCGTTTCTAGCTGATAAGAGACGAGTACCGTCATAGAACAGACAGGTTTGCTGTACACATATTATATTTCAAAGCTTGATTTTAAATTACGTATAATTCTTTACTCTGTTTCAGTCAAACGGTATTTACTTGCTGGGATTACTTATTCTGCCCCAAGAAACGTCTTCTTCTGAGGAAGCCGCAACTGTAGAACATCTTCAGGTAGGACGGACTATTTTTGTGCCCTATTACAAGTGCAGGTGTAGATCGTAAGACATTTTCATCAACACGCACTGTACTGTACTTGGAAATCTTTGATTAACTCGACTTACTTTTGTTGTAAATTTTTTCTTCACAGAAAAGCGCATTCAGGGCTTTGAGGTTGGTTCTCTTTCTTTCCTGTGTATTGTCTTGTAGTTAGTGTGTATACATCATTTCCCCTCAAGAAAAGCTTACTGTTCGAGCCTCATTAGATCCAACCGCAGGGAATTTTTTTCTTCAGTTTTATTTTTAAAATGCAGCGAAGGCGTAGTCAAGTTTCCTCGGGCTGCATTTCAAAGCCTTGTTTGCTTATATGCCCAGGAACAGATTGACAACTAGTATTAAATTGTTTTGTTCCAAAATAACGCTCTATCACTTTCGTCTTTAGTGAGTTGTTGTGCTTAACTCTCTGCAGATTCTTGTTTAGTATGGAGCGAAATCGTCAACTCTTCAAGAGGTGAGATATACTGTTTGAATTCAGCCTAGCCCTAAGTTTACATCGTGAGAGATCGAGAATTCTTGAATAAGGGCAGGGCTTAGAAGTTTTGAAAATCTTTACAATGATTTTCTTTTGATTTACAGATTGTTTCCCCCAGACCTCTTCGAGAAATTTATTGATGTCGGTCATTACGTCAGGGAATTAAATGCCTACAAGTGCCTGGTTGACAAAATTTCCACTTTGACGGTGAGGTTATAGAGTTGTTTTTGTGTGTTATACAGAAATCATTGAACGGTATTAATGAATTACTCCGCTTGATGAATTCCTTTTTCACCAAGCAAGCGTTTGACACAGCAGTCTCGAGTTCTATTCGACCAGTGGACTGTATTTGAAAATCGTTTTGTTCCTTAATTAACATTTCCTGGATAGTTCTCAACTTCTGGAAGCGGCATAGAAAGATAGAGAGGCAGGCTAACTTACATTGAAAGGGAGGTTACCACTGTCAAATAAACGTTTTTAATCCAAACAAAATACTGCAGATCACTATTGTTCTTGATTACTATAATTATGCTGCGTTAGTATTTTAATTCTTCAAATTTAGCCGAGTGAAAGGCTAAGCTGATAAGAATAGACTAACTTTTCAGCTCTAGGAAAATTCAACTGTATGAGTGAGGGTTTTACTTATTAGAGTAGATCAGATTTGAAGGATTGACAGGCCTACACATACGTCGGACAGTCTGGTTCCAATCGTCTGCAGTTTCCCCTAACACTTCTCCGATCAAGACAACAAGAAATAATGAGTCTTCAATTTTGGTTTTTGTTTCCTAAAGGAGGAGGACATTTCAGTGATTAAAACCAATGTTCAAGCCACCAATCAGAACAAGGCTCCTAGTCATTCCATTGGTTCATACGAGGTACTTGAACTTCTGGGATCTGGTGCATTTGGAAGTGTCTTTAAAGTAAGTTGACTCCGTTAGCTAATTGAACGTGGGTCTTGTGTTTACGAATGTCTGTTTACTCTACGAACACGTACATCTGTGTACTAAAGTATTATCGCTTTTTTAGCGAAAACTGTTGCTCATCATTTGATCACATTATCATTTTTATTTCAGGTTAGAAAGAAGAATGCTGGTCAGAGCTTTCTCGCCATGAAAGAGGTTTGGCTTTGTTTATTACTCTGGCCTAAAAACTTGTGCTTCCAACGTGTTAAAGAGACTTAATATGCGTCACTTCTTTTATCTTGTAGTATTAGAGATGTTTCTCTGGAAATTGTTTTATGCTCTTGCTTCTTTGAGTTCTTTAAATATCCATGGCAGTTTGTTTAGCGATCTCGGTACCTTTCTGTAGATGGGGAGATTAAATTAAATTTTGTAATTTTTATTTTTATAGATGTCAGTTCATAATCCTGCTCTTGGAAAGACGGCTAAAGACAGAGGAAAGAGTGTTGGTGAAATTGTTAATGAAACAGCTATCATGAAAGAACAGGTAACTTAACTGTACTATCAATTTTTATTCACTTCACGCGAATAAGGAGAAATCCACGCAATGTGTAGGCGAATGTGACGATAAGTTTACTCGCTGACCAGTGAGCTAAGAGCCGGGAGAATTGAATGGACTTCTTACAACAACTTGAGCAAAGTCTCTAGAGTCTCGTAGATTTTCCTGCTGCTTTTCCAATTTGCATTTAAATCACAAGGCACTCTGCGCGGCCAGTAAAACAGTATAGTAAAACCAGTATATTTTAATTTCCTTTTGCTTTTCAGCTAAGACACCCAAATGTTGTCAAGTACCACAAAGCTTTTCAAGAAAGTGAGTAGCTTTTCTTTGGTCATAAATTTATTTTAAGCAACTAAACACGCAAATACAAGAAAAACAAATTGACGTTTGTCTAGTATATTGATACCATAACCCTTTTTAGCCCAGCATCAGTATGTATACTCTTCATACTGTTCTCTTTGTTTTCCTACGGCGCTGACAAGGAGAATTTGTTCGCCTATCAAGAGCTCCTTTACTAGGCGATCATTTCCTTTTTTTCTTAAGACCCTTATGTTTGATTCATCAATGATACTGTAAGGAGAAATTAGATGTTAGTGACTCTCAGAGGTTAACAGCTTAACACTCTGATAGCGCCAAGTAATGTCAGAGAAGTTGGACGATCTCACCGTTTCACTGTGCTGACCATTTCTTCTTGTTTTATACTTATTACAGAGGACAAACTCTTCGTCATAATGGAATTAGTCGAGGGCGCTCCTCTTGGCGAGCATTTTAATTCCTTGAAAGAAAAAGGGACCAAGTTTTCAGAGGAGAGAATATGGCATATCTTTATACAGGTACAGAACTGTGCTTTTCCATGATGGTATTAAAATTATTTAAAGATACATTCATATAGGTCGAATGCGTGTGTTCATTCGCGTATTCGTTCGTATACTTTCTCATTGCATCCCTTTACCTTTTGAAAATTGATCTCTAATTTATTTTTCTTTCTTCTTTTTTCGTCTAGATTGTTTTAGGACTTCGTTACATTCACAAAGAAAAACACATCGTCCACAGGGATCTTACGCCAAACAACATCATGCTGGGGGAAAATGATAAAGTCACTATAAGTTAGTAGCTTTTGTTTTTGCCTTGTTTTGTTTTGCTATGCTTCTTAAATTAGCCTTCGTGGAAAAGTAATGATAATTTATATCTTTTTCTTTACAGCTGATTTCGGTTTAGCCAAGCAGAAGAATCCTGATGCAAGTAAAATGACGTCGATGGTTGGTACAATATTATATTCATGGTAAGTATAAGTCATCAGTTTTTTTTTTGTTTGTTCTGACGAAAGTTTCGACGTCATTGATGCTAATTTTTCAAGCATATATTTTCGAGAAAATGGAAGCGGCACATTCCGGCATTCTTTAAATCTGCGATGTCGGAGAATATCATCTTTCTAGGAACGTATTTTCGGTTATATTTACCATCTTAAAAGTTAAGACGTTAAATCTCTTCATTACTAATTTTTGTTGTAACATCACTTAAAAGTTAATCGTAGTCAGCTGACTAGTGATTCCTTGTACTTGCGAAAACTGGTGAAAAGGAGTGGATGTGGAAACAAATCGTGAAATACCTCCCAGAGTTTATGCGAACAGAATATCCACAAGTGTAGACCGGCATTGTTTCCATGCAGAGTACTTTATCTGGGTTCTGGAGATAATTGAGTTACTGAATATCTTTATTCTCTGTTTTTAGTCCTGAGGTTGTTCAAAGCAAGCCTTACGGTGAAAAGGCGGACGTGTGGGCCTCAGGCTGTATTTTGTATCAAATGGCAACTCTTCAACCTCCATTTTACTCGTCAAACATGTTAGCATTAGCAAAAAATGTACGTCGGCAAGTGCGTAATATTAGGAGACCTTTGTTATTCATTAGTTGGCAACTGAACTTCAGCACTGATCAACGAGTTGAGCTGAAAAATCGCAACAACCGTTAAAATAGTCAGGGGAACTCTACTGAGTTTAAATTTTACATTTGTGTCAGTTTTAATGAATTTGTCAATCATAATACAGTGGAACATCTATTCATGGAACACCCTCGAGTCTAGAAAAGTGCCCCTTATTAGAGGTGTCCCATCAGGTAACAAGTATAAATTCAGTTGATTGCACCTTTCTTGTAATTAACTTATGAGACCATGATTTTGCTAAGAAAAAGCTTTTCTTTGTGTTGTTCAAAGCGGTGAAAAAAAAGTACTGAAGTTTTGTCGTTTGCCCTACAAAGTCATATCTACCGATGTTGACGTGGTTCCACTTCAAAAGTGACTTTATCGTGACTGTTGCACGTGAACCGCTTTGTAACGATGAAAAACTCAAAATGAACATATCAAAATGTCAGCCATGGACTGTTGCTCTACATTACGTGTCACGGGCAAATCACTTTGTTCTGGGTTTCATTTTTTTCGGAATTATAACTTTGTTTTTATCCCTCAAACACAGATTGTAGAAGCTAAGTACAAGCCCATACCTCCAGGAGAGTACTCGGACAAGCTGTCCGAGACTGTGACCAGGTCAGTGATAGAAAGAGTAGAGTGATTTTTGGTGCATATTGCTTTGTATGAATTATAAAATCTTATTGGCTGTGTATACTTTTGAGAATAGATTGTTAGTTTGACCGTGCGAACACCAAGAGAAATCTTAAGGTTTTTTTTTTTTCATTTCTTTTATCGCCCTTTCTTGTACCGATGCGCGCAAAGCCGGAAGATTAATGTAAAGAAAGGTTGATGAACGTAGCTCATTGTTACCGTGGTGGAGGAGTCTGGCTGAAAGCGGAGGGAAAAGGAAGTAGTCTTTTTAGGGGTTTGCAAGAGTGCAGTTAAAACCCAAATCTTACTGTGGCTTTGTTTGCTGTTGTTAACATTTTTATTGGGAATGTCACTATTGTTTTGGCTACTAGAGCGCGTTGGCTCACATAACAAGCGCGCATAAAGGGGTGCTGGAGAATGGTTTGAAGTTTCGCGTGCGAGAAAGAATTCCTTGCGCGCCTCTAACTCTTTCTTTGTTTTTTCCTCCGTGTAGGTGTCTAACACCCAATCCTGATGAAAGACCAGATATAATTCAGGTATGCTATGTAACGTCACAATCTCATAATAAGTGATTGTTAACATTTTCAATCAGTTTTTATATTATAGTGTTTATATTCAACGTTATTTGTGTTTTGAGGGGAGAGGTCCCAGTCTTTGCACAGGCCGGAGCTGTGACACTTCATTTCGTGTTCTTACACTTCTGTTATTCTCTTAAATTTTAAAGTGGTCTTTTTGTTCCAGGTTGCTGCCATTATCAGCGAAATAATGCTGGTGTATGTGGACAAGTTGCGGTCCAATGAGATCAGCCTGGAAAAGAAACTGGAACGAGAAAGAAAAAGAACCCAGAGGTGTGTTTTTTTCCCAAGTAGATGGATGTTTGTATAGCGTTAATAGACCTATCTTCAGATCGTTTGCCATTTTGAATAGGTTACTTTTTCCCTCTTAAGAACCTCATAATACTCTTCTGTGCTAATTTACGGTAATGAAATGGCCGTCGTAGAAGGTCCAATTTAACCGAAAGAGTTGTCTTACCTTGCAGGCATTATATCGAGGCAAATCGTAATATGCAGAACTACCATCGCCTTTTCTGGGCCTCACAAGAACGCTATGACAAGCTGGTGAACCTGTCAAGTAGTGGAGGAGCCGCTGGCTTCAGGAACGTTGACGTCCCTGAAGGTTCTGACACCGTCTTTGAGGCAGCGAGTGCCCTAGCAGAGTTCAACAAGAATGGCGTTCATAAAAACGGCGAAACAGAGTTTGCGAACCAAGTGGATTCTGGAATTGACATTGGAGGAGAAGCTCAAGCCAACGTAGTCCTGGGTTCCAGTATCAGATCACCTGAACAAAATGGTGGTACTAAACCTGAAAGTAGCTCGTCGCCAGGCTCAACGCGGCGGCAAAGGACTCTTAAGCCAGTTATTACTGATAAATCTAGTTACAAAGGGAATACTGAAAAATCGTCCTCTTTAAACAAAGACAAAGATAAGCCGTTATCGGGCGGTAGGGTAGGAATAGAAAAATTGTCCAACAGTAGGACTATCGTTGAGAAACCAGGCGCCAGTTCTTCCGCCACTAATTCTCATGTTTTTGCGGTACCGAAGCCCCCGGGACCACGGAAAGGCGCGAGGAGACAACTTCATGTTGATTTCGCGGCCGGCAGCAAGGCCTCCCCGTCAAATGGTTCGAGTACTATAACAACAACACCTGTTGGCGGAAATTCATCTGGGATTCCTGCTCCTGGGATAAGTGAACTTTCATCGAGAAGGACACATAGCAGGTTAGTGTGAGACAGAAAGCCTCACGTTAAAGTTGAGGGTGGCAAAAATATGCCCAGTGGGAATTTTTCAACTTAGAAGACACCAGGGACGGACCGTTAGGAGGCATGATCAGCAATAGCAAAGTATACTTTTTGTATGAGGTTAACTAAGGATTGAGGTGGGTAAGTTTCTAAAGCATATTTGGTACTGCGTCGGAGTGAGGTTTTACAAGATAATTGCTTTTATAAACTGGGTGGATTATTTCAATTGACCACTGTTGAGAGATTCTAAAGCTGACGTTTCGAGCGTTAGCCCTTCGTCACAGTGAATCCGATTCCCTCTGAGGAAGGGCTGACACTTGAACAAGAAATATTTTGCGTATCTAAAGAGGACCTAATTCTTAGAAATAAAGTGTTTTAATGTCCTTCTGCTCGTTCCATTTTAGCTCATCTGTGGAAACGTATAGAAGACAGAGTAGTGGACAGTTGAAGGCACGACCTCGTAAGTATAATTTTGTTTATTATTCGTAAATGCTTTGGACTGAAAGCCGAAAGATTACGTTTCAAATAAATTTTTACAACAGAGCGCTTTTTAATGTAAATATGTAAGTCTGTTTGTTTGTTTGTTTTAGCTACTGCCGCAGCCACTCTCAGCATTTCTCCTCGCAAAGTGCGTCAAATAAACGATCCCATCTCCCAGATTCTCAACCAACTCCACAAGATCATCTTCATAACGCAGGTTCGCGATTAGTTTTTTGTCTTATGTCGTTCCCCTGTATTCGTCTAACCTGTGGGACATCAGTAAGCAGAATTGATCCTCGAATATCCAGCGCTAGTATTGTTGTAATGGGATACAGTAGCCGAGAAGACATTCGTTGCCGTTGCACTCTTAGTTCGACGAAAGTTCATCCTCGTTGCACTCTTTATTTCTTACCTAGTTCACTTGTTAATTTTTCATTTCCGTTTCAGTTACCACCTACATTATCACCAAACCCACAGAGAAGAATAGTCGAGCAGTTCAAGAGAGCTCTGTTTGCTCCTCAAAACAGCTCCTTCGTCAATCTTAAAAGCGAGGTCAAGAAGGTAAGTTCCTTTTCGTCACTAGAGGTTCCCTGGAATATTTTAGAATATTTTATAGTAGCATTTTTTTTAGAAACAAATGTAACCTTTGGTAAGATTTTGATGGATCAACGTTTGTTCCATTTGTTTTCATTTATCGGATATGACATTCCAATATGACCTATTTGGTATGCTACGAGTTTTATCACTCTCTTTTGTAAATGGACGTGATACATTAAGACCTTGTGGTCAGCACGCAGGGTTTAACTGGAGAGGTCCCTGTTCCGCCCCATTGGCCGCGTCTCTCCTGAGCATGGCACCTCCTACTTAATTAGTGACAACCTCCAACCAAGAGTATGAAATAAAACGTGGGGGGGGGGAGCAGGACGAGATGTAGAAGATGGGGGAAGGGGGTTAAAATGCGAGATACTAATATTCGATCATGCCATTGGAACCGGAACAATTTCTGATAGTTTGGCCAAGATATACATTTTTGACCTCTGTTAAGAAACGCTTTGTATGGTTACATGACAGGTGATTGAAGGGTCTAGAGAAGTTATTGACCTGAAGTTCGGGTTTGGAGATCCAGCATTCCTGCATCACCAGCTAGATACCGCTGACAAGTTAGGTAGGTTCAGAGAGCAAAATGTGGCAAGGTTACTGTGGGACATAAACGCGAGTCATTTTTTTTTTACTGTTGGTTTTGTGTTCTTAGTGAGTGGAGTTAACCTTGAATCAGGCGACGCCCAAGAAATTGGCATAACATACGAGATGATGCAGGTTTGTGAAGGTTCCTTGTGCTTTAAATCTTGTCTCCAAGTTGTAAAGAAGATGAAAGTCTTCGAGAATTTTTTTTTTCTTTTTTTTCGGCCCCAACCCCTTCAACGTCTACGAAAATTCGGAAGGATTGATGAAAGGTAAATGATAAAGTTTTTAATTTCCAATTTGTGTCGGTTTTACCTATCGATCCTTAGTTATCTTCGTTCTTATGTTTTGATTTCTCTGTTTGTTTTTGGTATTTGTCTCCTGAAATAAAGATCATTGAAGGTTTTATTCAGTCCATATTGGCCATCTGTTCTTAACCCTTTCACTCCTAAGATCTTATTAGTGATTCTCCTAACTGTCTGCCATGCAATTTTTATGATGTTACTTCGGAGAATTTGGTATTGGATCAGCTTATAATCCTCTAATTGGTATTTTTCTTAATCCCCATCACTTCTCATCACACTTGTCATTTGTTTTTTTTTCCAATTTCTGCTACATCGTCGCTTATCTTCTAATTCTTTAATTTTTAGGAAGTTTTAAGATCTAAACTACGATTGTTTTATTGCAGAATATAATCGAAAACGTTCTCATGGAGAGTGGCTATTATGACATGTCTCCTTGTGCAAGGTGGGTGAGCATAGTTGCATTTTAATCTAGAGAAAACTTGAATTCACAGAAGGCTCGTACAGTTGGAAAGGTGAATTAACTTCATGTAGAAGGGCAATTTTCAATTTTGCCCAGCGTCATTCTCTCAGCTAATCAGATGAAAACTGGGTCACTGAGTTGGCTCCAGGCTACTAATTAGTGGCGACGAGCGAAGAACCGGGGCGAGCGAGTAAAAAAAAAGTCGGGAGTCAACTCCTTCTGTAAAACCCATCAATTTTTTCGTCTCTCGCTCATTCTGTCGTCTCCACTGACCGGCAGCCCGATATAGGCTGTGTTCTCTAGTGCTTTTGTCACTATGTTTTTCTTCAAGGTCTCTCTAGCTCTATGTGGAATTGATGTTATTGATTGGTAGTTATGATCTCTTTAGTTTTATTTTGACGTCCATCAATCAAAATGCACTGTACCGCACACCCAAAGCCCTCTTCCCTCTTAGCCATGGCCCCCTGTTTTGAAACAGCAATAGGAACAAAGTAATATAGAGCAAAAAAGAGAGGATGTGTCACTTGTATTCGCTCATATATTTTGATTTTTGCGTTTGACTTTGGAAATGAAGTTCCTTAGCATTACTTTCATCTAATACTATTTGTAATTGCACACAATTTATCTTTGCAATCCCTTCGTTTTTCCCCTCAGAAACCGAACGGTTCCTCTGGGTCCTATTGGCACGGTGCCGGCATCTGGTGTCAACTTAGGCCCCTCCAAGAGGGGTGGAACTTCCTAGTGTCATAGTGATTGGAGTCTTTCATAACAGCCACAATGGCAGCATGATATACACAGTCTTAACATCTGTTTTTAATGTGGAGTGTTAATGCTCGAAAACACGGTGTGGTCTCAACATTCAGAGATGAATTGAAGCTTTCAGTGACAGTGGTTCTAAGCCATCTGGGATGGGAAACGAGATTCCTGTGGATGTAAATGTTTGTAAAAACGAACTTAATTTATTTTTTTAGCGAAAGTTTATTTAAATGCAGTCGATGAAAAGGAAAAAGGGAGAGTTTATCTAGACCGCGCATGTAAGTAAGTGTTTTCATTGATGTGTACCAAGAATTTAGAGAAGACGAACTTTTTGTATAATTAAATAATCGACCGCGAATAAGCAGAGGCGTAATGTAGTTTTAATTAGGGATCCTAATTGGTGGAAAATTTTACATCACTGTCTCGACCAGTCAGATGAAAGGTTTAGGCTCATCGTGTCTGGTTTTCAGTGCAATGAATCAGCATCGAGAGGTGCTCGCGCAACTTGGTTATCTTTATCACCTACCTTGTGAAAGGATTCCTGTCAAATTTAATCGGCTGAGCGCGTTGCCGAGGATCAACATTAATTTTGTTTGTTTGGTACGCAGTAATATCTTAGAACCAAAACAGTTCCCGATACTTCATGGTCGTGGAATTCAAATCCACGACCATAGGAAAGAGTTGCTCGAAGCTTCACAATGACACATGTTTGTTGTAAATGACGTATGTAAACGCTTCTCGTCAACTTCAGAAGTGGATTTAGCTTGAGCCAGCGTAGTTAATACCCTGGGGCACTGGAGGACCCTGGAGAAATGTAGTGCTGAGGGGTAGGGGATAGAGAACTGACTTTTTTCTCAACTTCCAGTGGCTTGCCGAGAGCTGAATTGTTTCTCAACTTCCAATAGCCTGCTGTGCAGGTATATTTGGTGAATAATTTTAGGTTAGTGCTGTTAATTACACTTCTCACCACCCTGTTAAATCTCTTTAGAAAAGAATTAGCAGGGAAGAGAAGTTTTCTATCGCTTTCTTTTTCCATGAGAGTGAAGTATGCACACCATGTTAAGAATTACTATTGAGTGAAAAATTGCTAATCAAAATGCAGAGTTTGTGAACTTAGATTCTATAAGTCAAAATTTTAAGATATTTATGCATGGAGTGAATTAGAATTGAATTTCTATTTTTTATTTTAAAGACGAAATAAAAGCATTTGATCATGTCATTTGAGTCTTGCAGTCGGTTTTAAGAAAGCTTTTACCAAAGGTGGCCGCCGATGGTGTAACGATTGGCTGCCCCCGGAGAAGGGGCCGTAGCGCAAAACACAAGCACGACTGCTTGCTCGTAGGCTAAACAGACGGTGGGAGGGAATCTCATAAGCGGCGGTAGACCTCAGCTTTTACTGAAACCCCTGCCAATGTAGTGTCACAATGCTCCTTGGTTAAAATATCATTCGCTCTTCCGTATCGGTCCTGAACTTTCTGAACCGTCTCCAAAGTCAAATATGCTAGGGTTTTTCGGGGCAGCAGAATTAGGCCCAGCTCAGACTCAGCTTGTATCGTGCCGAACCAGGAGCCCATTATTTGGGCTCTTGGCCGAACTTAGTTGCAATTAGGTTCGACCATAGCGTAACGGAAGCACGATTCAGATTCAGTCGACGGGCTTATGTCGTACGTAATTCAGTATTTACCGAAGCACCCTCCTCGCATAATCTGTAAAGAAGAATTATTCACATGAATCCCCCGTGGTAACGCACATCCGCCGAAGTACATTAGTATACTATACTGATTTATGAATTCAGTTTGGCACGACAGGGGTACGACGTCTAAATCACTGGCGTGCTAGAGTACGCAGGCAGCCCAAGCTCCAGCTGTGAGATGATCGTCTTGTGAAATACCGAATAGATTCGATTAAACGCCGCGGCGTTTATTAAATTTTTGTGATTCGAGTGCGGCGTTCATTCGCGGGCGGCGTTTATAAGAGAGCGGCTTTTATTTAAAATCCAAACAAAAATATGGTAGCCGACCATTTTAATTTTAGAGAACTGAAATAGATCTTATGTCGGATATGCTTTCTCGATATCAGAATTGGAACATTCAAAAGGATTTGTGTATAGGTCACTCAAAATTTCCAACTGCGATCGAAGTAATGATCGCTGTACGCTTTTTGAGTCTATTATTCGAATAAATGCCGCATGATGATACCTCGCCTTATTCCCACAGTGCAGCGCTTGTTGTTTGAACGCTTACTTTGTTGAAACGAGGCCATTATATCGAGTTATCCATGTCTACACTTTTGGGAGTGGGAAACCTGGAAACATAACTCACCCAAATGGCCTCGTATCAACAAAGTAGGCGTTCAGACAACAAGCGATGCACCGTGGAAGTATGGTTAGATCATTTTTCATTGAAAATTTGACGGTATTTCTACTTTCTAGGAGCGTTTGTTTATTCTCATACAACCTCTTATATTTTCGCCATGACTCTCACGCTAGATGATCCTGTCCACGGGCAGGAAACTTCAATTGACTCTTGGTCCTATTTAACAAGGATGGCAAACTTAAATAAGAAAAAAAGGATGTATGAATGAAAACGTGGTGGATCAACATTTTCACTTTCCTCGGAATGCTCGCAAGAATTTTCGTGTTCTTCTTAAGCAGCAACCGACCCATAAGCGTTTACTACCTCGGAATCTACTAAATCAATGGATTCATCTGATTCCATACTGGATTAAAACGCATAGTATTGTTTTACATAGTATTATTTTGACAAGCTCACCAAACTTATCAGAGAAAACGCAGAAGCTTATTTGAGACAACGTGGCAAGATCAAAATAACTGACTAATCAGAGGCGCTATTTAAATAAAAGCAGTGGTTAAAAAAAAAAACAAAACAAACGACCGCGTTGCATCAAGGTTGGAAATGGGCCTTCAATTACTTTGCCGAACTTAATTAAACACTTGATTCGGACGCCGTGCTTCTGTCACGCTTTAGTCGCACTTAATTCCTAAATTTAATTCAATTCGCATTTCAAAATGGCCACTAACTCGAAGCCGTCGTTTTTTTCGAACCTGAATGTGATAACGATTGGAGACCTTATCCAAAAGGACCTAGAGAAGGCTTATTTTCTTCCACAACAACCGTCGTCGTATTCCAAAGGATACAGATTTCAGAATAGCACCAAATACCAAGTATTTGATTCGCCTCCTCCACCGCTAAGTTTTAACCAGACCTTGTTTCCATTGCGTAATCTCGCAACAACCGGTGATAAAATTCAATTGGTCATGGAAAGTGAACCACCGTCATATTTAAAAGAACACTGGAATAATACGATGCCAGATTTTCCACTGGCATCGGTGAAATCTGTGGATGAAGCGCTACTAGATGACATACCTATTGTCACTTCGGCCGCGCTGCAGAGCATTCCAGAACACAAACAGAGTATTCATCCCGATCTTATGTACAAGCTGCAACTGAAAAGCTCTATACTCGAAATTGGAGTACCAGTTCCTAAGCACATGGAAGAAGACTCGATCAGTTTTCCATGTGTGGTTAAGGCTGATATGGGCTGGTGTGGTCGTGGAAGTCAGATCGTTCGAGGCGAAGGGGAACTTACCTCCACAACAACTCATATCAGAGATCTCTGCGGTTGGGACGGAAGAATTGTGTTCCAAGAATTTATTCCAGGAGTTAAAGAAGTTCCCAGCTTTCAATTCCATCTTAGTAAATCTGGTGAAATGTTCTGGGTAGGAACTACGCACGGGAAATTTGATGGATTAAAATGGATAGCCGCTACTGTTGATTGGAGAAAGCAAGAGGAATACAGAGATCTTGTGCACGAAGAATTTACAATCCCTATCAAAAACTACCTTCTAAAAAACGGTTACTTTGGTCTCGTTACGTTCGAGGTTTTATTTACAGATCACGGAAAGTTCATGGTTGATTTAAATCCACGGGTGGGTGGTGAAACAAGTCACCTTCTTCTCGCTCGGTATATGGCATCGGTGTTTGGTCTGAAGCACTCTGCAATGTTTTCTGAAAATACGCACAATGTCTCCGGTAAGTGGTTGGTTCAGAAGGCGAACGGTCTAAACGAGAAGATTGAAGGGAGAATTGTAATCTTAGCTGTTGCTGACGAGCCTCATGGCTGTAATTCAGACGTGTCTGTCTTTGCTCAGAGTGCCGAAGAAGTTCAAGATATTTTTGGAACACTCACAAGTTAAATAAGAATCGCAAGGATGGAGATTTTATTAGCATATTATTAGCATTTTCTCTTTTTACATGATATATACTTTAGTTTCTTCAATTCTCTCTATTATAATATATACTTCAGGAATGCGCATCTGATCATAGTCATGTACGGATGCGCACTAGAAATGAATAAATTATTATTATTATTATTATTATTACCCTACCCTCGAGACGCAAAATTTACTCTTGTGTTTCGTTGTAATCTAAAATTTCATGACCTATGTTACGTCGTATTATTCTACAACACTGTTGAACGAACCGTTTCAAATGGTCAACGTTTTTGATCAACTAACTGTAAATACAGAAATAATTTAGAAATTAGTAAAGATTTTAATTTTTTCGCTGCTTTGCGCATAGTTTACATGAGACAAATTATGCAAATAGCCTTAAGTGCACGATGAGAAAAAAACCGGCCATGCTTTTTTCCGAGATTAGAGTCCTCAGGTGCTGTTTACAATGGCTGAATCTTTAAATCGGATTCAATGTCTTGGGTTACATGGAAGTGTACCTCTGCTGTCCAAAAGAAGAAAACATTTTGGCACCCGTAGACTGAAATCTTATCAGAGTTCTCTTAATTTTTCATTGTTGTTGCCGTAAACCTTTCTCTTTTTGCTCGAATTTGCATTCTTAGTGTCTTTAGGTAAAGAGGACGTGAGGTACTGAATTCTTAACAAGATTGTGGCTCATAGAAACATCCCAGGTTCAAGATTGTGGCAGGGTGAAAAGGAAGTTCAGTCACCTCACTTTTAACTTGAGTTTCTTAGGTTTTTTTTAGTCTTAATCTCGGTCGCAATTGACTCAGTTTTTATTAATTCGTGCAGACGATTTTTCGGAGCAATTTTCCCCCTCTCAATCATTCTTGAGCGTTGAAAAGACGAGGTTGATAAAGCAGTGGTGACATATTGAACGTATCTAACAGACAGCTTCAGATGGATTACTGGCGGCAAGAAAACTAAGTGTGATAAAATTATTTCAGTAGCATAAGCCATAATCTGTCATAACTGAGGGGATATTGAATGTCAGGAAGAATCAATATCGGCCAAAACTAAAACTTTGATAAACTAATGATTGGCCCCAAATTTGCTTTTTTACACTTTCCATTGCATTCCCAATGTTGAAACTCCATTGTTGAATCACGAAATTTCTCATGTTTGTTTCCTTTCTGAATCTTTAGTTTCAAAACACGGCTCAGGTCAGTCATCTCCACAGTTCAGAAAATTTACAGAAACAATTTGAAAATTTGCTATAGAAAACTCGCACCATCTTCTCGACCAATCAGTGTTTGGTTATCTGCGCTTTCTAGCGCTTTAAGCTACTCACTACACCTTGATTTCTTGTAGACTCCATGAGATGTAGACCTCGGTTCTGATTACCCGTGGCGATCACTTTAGATTTGGTTTCACGAGAATCAAACGCAAATCACTCTATTTGGGGAATGGTTCTGTGCTGCGATCGATACAGAAAAAATAAATAATCATGTAAATGAAAAAATAATTTGAGAAAATTTTAAGAAAGTAAGAGTGGTGTAAATTGAAAAATTGACTAAAAAGAAGCCAATGGTCCTAGTAATTTCATCTAATCCACGTTAAAATTTGTCCGGAGTAATCAAAACGCATTCAAACCTTCCTTGTACATTAAGTTGCCTGCGTGCTAACCTGTTCTATGTGTTTTTCTGAAATTGTATGTGTGATTATTTCTCCCCACCTCTGTTGAAGGAAACCTTCCCAAAGTTCTACACCACTTACTAGCCATGGGCGTTCAAGGTGGGTGTGGTCAGAAGCTGCCTAGCGGGTGGGGCTTCCTATATCCCTCTGCTAATTTCTCAAATTGTTCAAGACATGGTTTGCTGGCACAAGAAAACCTCTATGCAGTCTTGGAAATGGACAACATGCCTGTTACTGATTTGGAATGGTGCCCAAGTCAAAAGCAGTTCAAAATAAGGAAGAAATAATATCACTTAGCTAGAGAGTGATGAAGTGATGTGTGGAAAGATTGCCAACTGCACATTTTGTTTAGCTGACGTAATGTTGCAATGTGTGAGTATTTCTGAACTGAGAAGTAGAAGGAGACAGTGCCTAACAGAAATTTATTAGAGGGGTTGATACAGCATCCACATGATCTCCTACTCCACTTCCTAAAAGCAGAGGGGAGGGTGATAGCCCACAGAGTTAGATGTTGAAACACTTCAAAACAAAAAAGAAGAACAAACGGAATGATCACCCCTCAAATAACACGTGTCATGTTCATGTGCCAAAACACCAGTGTCCAAAATCAAGCATTTTGATTGAAAAAAAATTCAGATAGTGAGGTGTTCACCCCAGCCTTTTAGATCTCATATCCTTCCTTAACACTTATCCCTGGATTAACTACATCAAATGGTGCCAACCCCCCCCTCCCTTTCTGTCCCTCCAGAAGATCAAGTAGAGCATGAAATATTTCCAACATTTATTCATAAGTAACTAATGTTTAAGTTTTTCACTGATAGGAGAAAAATGCCCCAGAAATCACCTAATCATGAACATAACAATATAAAAGGTATTCATGCAATTGTGCCACAGAATACATTTTTCCAATCCCAGATGGTATCTCTACCATTTGGAAATTGTCTTTTCATGAGCTAAGGATTTGACTTTGGACTAAACCATTTTAAAAACTGCTGCACAACCTGGCCACTTACCAGCAATGCAATAGTCTTATGCTCTTTAATTCACTGCACTCACACTAAAAAATTGATGTGTTTTGCAAGCTAAATGAAACCAGGGAAGTCAATCACATCGGTGCTTCAAATATTGAAGGAAGAGAAAGGCTAGTTGATATGTAACAAGTAAGTGCTTTCATCCAAAATGGCTGTGCCCTTAATTCAACTCTTAATAAATTTGAAGACACTTTTGAAAGGTTATAAGTATTTTGAAATTCAACCTGCTGTAACTACTGTAGCTCTATGCTTTGTGATTCAGGAGTTCAGAATCATTGTATGCAATCATTGCATACCTTCCCTATGACATAAATTCCTTGGTATTGGACCCTTGACAAAAATTCAGTGTTCAGTATGGTGGGACAGAAAAGGGGAAAGTTATCAACAACTTCAAAACTATACCAAACAACATGTGCTGACAAAATTTCAGAACCCACCCAAGAAATACACAAAACACATCACACCATTAACCCTTTAACTCCCAAGATCTGATTGTTAATTCTCCCCTTTAGTTGCTACACATTTCTTTGTTAATTAGTTGTGAGAATTTGGTGTTAGATCAGGATAAAAACTCCCTGAAATGTTTAAGTGCTCTCATGCCAATTTGCTGGATGATGTATGAATAATATAGGAAGAAGTTTCACGTTTATCAGTTCTGGAAGTTAAAGGATTAAAACAGGAGTCAACATGTTCAAGGAACATTTATTTATTTTCTTATTGACTGTCAAATTTTCAGAAAGATACAAAAAAACTAGTAATGCTAACCATGAAAAGAACAACAGAAACATATGCAAATGTTGAGTAGGAGAAATAAGTGTAGAGAAAGATGCTAAATGGTAACAAAGCTGCCACCCTGCCCCCCTCCCCCTTCTTCCACCTTTACCTAAAGACTTCAGTCATTAAGTATTGAAAATATTATAGCAAGGTTATGAATTGTTCAAAGGTCAAAAAATATTGCCTATAAAATTAAAATTGAGTAACCTTCTGAATTACTAATGCAGCAAAGACAAAATGAAAAGTAAATTGTATAGTTAATTTGTATGTTATGATCAACAGATTGAATTAAGTATTGTAGAAGTTAGGTTATTCCATGCTCTCTTCTTAAATAACAATAAAATAAAAGATTTTTGTATTTACCTGTTAGGCAGGCTAACTGATACATTTAAAATATTGCTACCTACAAATCATTACTTCATTATTAAACAACAACCAACTGATTATTAATGATTCATGATTCATCAATCAGTTTTTCAAATTGTGAAAAAGAGTTTGTACTGCATCTGGTGTCTTAGCAAAAACAGACACATATGATTCACATCCTACATAGGCATCAGCAGCTGATAGTACAACAGTCAATCCTTCACCTTGCTCATTGCTATTATTTGCCCTCTTAACTAGTTCCTTGGAAGTCAGGTTGGAGTGCTTATTTTTACAAAAAATTGCTGAATGTTTGAAGCCAATATCCAGAGCCATGTGACGAGCAAGTAACAAATGTGTTGTATCGCCTCCTATTCTTGGGTTAATATCCACTAGGTACTTTGCATGATCAGTAATTAACACCTCAAAAGTGACCAGGCCAAAGTAGCCTCGCCTTTGCAGGTAATCTTTTATGGGTAATGTGAACTCTTTGTACACAAGGTTTTCATACTCTTCTTGCTTGTCCCAGTCCACTGATCCAGTAGTCCATGAAAAACATCCGGTAAATCCACCGGTTGTTGTGCCAACCCAAAAGAGTTCGCCGGATTTATGCAGATAAAATTGAAAGCTAGGCACTTCTTTAACTCCAGGAATGTATTCTTGAAACACAGTCCCCCCCTTCCAGTTGCACACATCTTTCATTTGCTGAAGTGTCTCCGACAATTCCCTTTCGTTTTTGACAAGCCAGCTCCCACGTCCACCAGTGCTCATATCAGCTTTAACAGCACAAGGATATGTTAGAGCGTCTTTGACAAGATATCGTGGAAATGGAACCCCTACTTCGAGAATGGTACTTTTAAGCTGCAGTTCGTACAAAAGATCGGGAGGTATACTATGCTTGTGTTCCGGGATGGCTTCCAGCGCCGCCGTTGTTATGACAGGGATATCATCTCGCAGTCCCTCGTCTAGTGACTTGATAACGACGGGAGGAAAAGCCGGAAGCCATTGCTTCCAGTGCTGAAGCAAGTACGATTCAGGTGTACACTCCATTATAATAGGAATTTCGTCTCCAGCAGCGGGAAGATGACGAAATGGCGACAGAAGGCGATCGAAGTACAGAGGAGAAGGCGGACAATCGTAAGTCCAGTATTTTTTGTCGTTTAAGAACCTGTACCCTTTAGAGTACGACGAGGGTTTTTGAGGAAGAAAATACGCTTTCCTTAAGCACTTCCTAACGAGTTGACCAATAGTGACAACGTTCTTTGAAGACATCACGATGCCCTATGACTCGATGTCTAGTTTCCACGCAGAACACGTGTCCACGTACGCATGTAATTACCCTCGTGTGCTTGATTGCGTGACAGATGAACTTATTAGAATGCGTTCGATTAGTAATTTAATTGCCCATTCGCATGATTTTC